AAGTTGTGATCGCAGAGACCGTTGCTCATTGTTACTAGCGCCCGATCGCTGCGTTGATGGCCTCCATTTGGTCAGTAATCGCAACGGTCGTTGCTCCCGTTTTCAGTGATCGTAGAGGTTATGTGGAAGCTAGCATAAAACATGTTCGTGGCTCAGCAAATTCAGTCAGATTCATTTTGCCTCACTAATGATCAGTTGAAGAAATTTTTGCAATAGATATGTATTCAACTTCAACTTCAACTTTAAATTGCTATAATCACAGTAAGTACACTTTTTATGGATTATTTATTTTCTCTCTCATAAAGAAAAGAAAAATTTAGATCCTCGTAGATAGAAACGTTAAAAACGTGAAATAAAAAACATAGATGAAAGAATACGGTTAGCTGCAACCCAGTACAGACCTATTTACATAGCTGTGAAGGTTTTAAAACGGAAGAAAAAATATTTTAAATACTATTTTTACTTATTACTAGCAGTTGCTAATATCATTCATGAAACTGATCAATGAAGCACCCAAGTTGTGCTTCCTTGTGTGCGATTTTTTTTCTCTTACTTCTCTGGTGCATGATTTTTTCCTGTAATTGCACAACCCCACCACCCTCAAAAATAAAATGGTCCGTCTCTTGAATAGCCTGCGAACAGCAGACGCATCATGTCCGGTCGTCGCTTCTCTCCCTTTCGGAGGGAGAGAAGCGACGACCAGAAATGCGTCTGCGGTTCGCAGGCTATCTCTTAAATCGTTAAATAAACGAAAAAAGAGAAATGGCATCTTCAAAGTTCCGAGGGGGGCTCGAGCTCCTCCCCCCAGCCTCTCCTTCGGGTACGGGCCTTTCCCCCGATTTTTTTTGGCTTTTCCAAAAAGTTACAATTTTTTAGAGGGGCTCACCATTTCCTAGGGGTTGTCCAATACTCACCACTTGGTCACACTGCAAAGTCTTGAGAGGAGGCCCTGACAAGTGGTACGATTCGTACGAGTCGTACAACTGGTGAAATCTTGCATCTCGTGACACTTAGAATTTGTGAGCAAAGCTGTCGAACGGGAGCCCTGTCTAGTGGTGCAATCGCCGTACGAGTCGTGCAACTGGTGTAATTGCATTTCATTAGTGACACTTAGAATTTGTAAGTGGTACGATTCGTACAACTGGTGAAATAGCGGATCACTCATCGTTTATGGGCAAACTATAGTAAAGTACTCGATAAAAACCGTCTTGATTTTAAGGCCTCTCGATTACGTATATATCGAAAACGTGAAATCGAGACTCGGGCCACCTGTCTTATCGAATACTTTACGACATGTTGCCCAGAAACGGTGAGTGATCCCAAATAGCACCTTATTATTAAACGACACTTGAAAATTGAATGAGAGCACAGTTGTCGAGAGGAGGCCTTTCAAGTGGAGCGAGTCGTCGCTTGACGACTCGTACCACTTGAGTCTTAGATTTTACGACTTGAACAAGTGGTGAGTATTGGACACGTGAGGACTTTTGACACTAAACTCATTTTTCATTTTTTATAGCAACTTATCTTATAGGAATACCAAGGCTGAAACATCAAGGCTAACGCTTTTTAAATAAAAAAAATGAGTTCTTTTATGTGTTCTCTTTTTGTAAGTGCAATAAGATTATATGTTTTCAACTAGATTAATTAGTAGCCAATAACACGATAAAAGCCTGCACTGGCTAAACGTTCGACGTTTATGACATGTGGAAAAATGTTAATCACGACAAGATATTCAGTTCTGTCTTGACTGATTCAACACATATATATGGTATGCAGCACAATCTAAGATTTTTCCAAAAAACATTTTCAGGATATAAACATCGGGAAAAAAAAACGAGTAATCAGCCTCTGTCGGAAAAGAAGCACGAATCCCTATAAAAAAACAGTGTACAGTTTACGATTAGCTAGACCTTGACTGATTTTGACACCCCCTCCCCCTCCCCCTCCCCCACCTTGTATGATATCCCTGTTGTTATATCTTATTATATTATGATCTTTAATCTGCAGCCCTAAAATCAAGCTTCAATATGCCTTAAGTTGAATTTCAATTTTTCATTGCTTGTGAGTCAATGAAAATATCGCCTCTTGTACGAGGAGAGACGCTCGCATAACACAGATAACATGCGCTACCTTGATCGGCTCTTATCTGATCCTTGCATCCGCAGGGCAACAGAAGTCTGGTTTCCCATTCCTTAAACCCAGGAAAAATCTCAGGTTATATACACTTCTTTCATAAATGAAAGGAAGGGTAAAATAATAACTTATTGCCTAAAATTAAGTGCCAAAATCTAGAAATCTTCTCGCGTGTGAGCTCGGTACCTGCGGAAGATTAGGACTGGGCACGAGCTGTGGTTGAAGGCAAATAAAGTCGTTTCGTAAAACATGACATGCCTAAGTAGCAGAATGTAAAAAGTATCATTCATGTTTTCAATCGAAGTGTTTTGTCCCTATGATTAGATGTTATTTTAAAGGCAAATATTAGAATCTGGTCATTTAAATTTCGGCCCTTCCTACAAGTCACCTCATCTGGTCATTTTTCTTTTCCCCCCTCTTTAAAATCTTTTTTTCCAGTATAAAATCGGTTCCCAAATTTTGTTTTCCATTTTTCACAACCAAGTAGTCGTATTCAAAAAATCAGGACCTGAGTGGTTTTTGGGGAAAACGACTTTGTCGATGGACTAGAAATGGTCCATTGGGGTCTCCCAACGCAGGTTCGAATCCAGCACGCCGACTACGAAAAGTCGGAGTTTTCTTTTTCACACCCCGTGATGAGTTTCATTTACCCTTGAAACCAATCCATTTTTTTCCAGTATAAAATTTCCAATTCTCTGTTGAGTTCAAACCCCGTTCATAAAAAAGAAAACATCTGCTGGTTAAAAACAAATTTTGTTTTAAATCATTAAAGAAGCATTTTTCACTAACAGGGGGCATCAAATTTTGAATAAGATGTGGGATAAAAAGCCCTAAAAATTGTCAATTTACATTTGAATTACAAAAAATCTATCGAGAAAAATTATTCATTAATTTGTTTACAAATGTTTACCCCCTCTGTCAAAACTCTCAGTAAAAAAAGATTGAAAAATGAGGTGAAATGTTTTTTCGGGGACTAAACATCAAGATTTTCCTTTTTAAACGACTTTGTTTTAACTAACATCGAGGCGACTCGTCATCCCCAGATCGCGCTTTCGTTGCTATGACAGCTTAATCCTCATGACAAATTTCCCTCTTTATCTAATACAACTGTGGTGGCAATTTTTTCAAATGCTTGTTTGTGGCGACGTAGTTTATGCTCAAACTTGGCAGGTATTGACTCTGAAAAACTGTATCGAGCCATTTTCATATGCCAGTACGGCCTATTTTGTTGCATGGCCCTAGTTTCCTTTCGACTGTTTTGTAAAAATTTGGGCAACTTGGAAGAATTTTTTGGGCGAATGGATTACCGCCCCCCCTGGCAAAAAATTGCCCGTACGCCTATGCGCAACACAATGGTCTCCGGTACCATTTTGATGCCTTGAATACCATACCCCCGTTGTCCAGTTATATTTAATGAATAAACTTAGCCCCTCGGTTAAATTCTCTATCGCAATAAAGTTCGCATGATACAAAGGGCTAGTTAAGACAATATTAGTGTTCTACAATGAGCTGGAATGCAGTGGTCATGAGTTTACGCAACAGGGGCCCGTTTCTCGAAAGTCCCGATAATTAGCGGGCCCGGTAAGCTGTCTCCGTTTACATTAAAGATTGAGATTTCAATAGTTTTGCATCTAACATGATAAAACTATCAGTTAATGAAACAAAATGGAGTAGTTTGCAAGCCAGGACCGGCGCTCTTATTCTTTACATTTCGATTTGAATATTTGATTTCGGGCCCGAAAAGTTACCGGGACTTTCGAGAAACGGGCCCCAGGACGGCAGAAAGAGGAGGACGGCAAATCGCTTGTGCGTGACGAACGTGACAAGGCTATAACTTCCGTATATTGTCGTGATCTTGACTAACATCAATGTTTCCTGGTCTTTTACAAAAATATCTGTTTAAAAGAAAGTGAAGTTTGGCAAAAAGTTATTTCAAGCAAAATTATTGTCACGCTTGTCACACAATGTTTGCCGTCTGTGGGCTTTATGCATCCTTGGGCCCTCGCTTTGGCCAGATTTTCGGACAAATGCTCTCTATAAGAGTAAAGACCCCCAGTAAATTAAAGACAATGTACAAGGCAAATTTGGTAGTGTCAAGACATAGTTAAAGGGAAAAGGCCTCACTTCCGGTTGAAGGACGTCGCTCAAAAAAGCCCTTGCTTACGCTCCTTAACCTTTTAGGTCCCAAGACTGACCAACATCAATTTTCTTCTCATAACATCAGCCGATCATCAAGAGTAAAGGTTATGAGAATTACTAAATTGATAACCACAGAGAACGTGTTGATCTTAAACTAAATTCTCTCAACTATTCTTAAAAGAAATGTATGGAGATCAGTCTGGAGTATTTGCATGTGGATACTGGGGCTTAAAGGGTTAATGAAATAATGAATATACGAATGTCAAATATTAGAATTGGCGATGAAGAATGAATTGTAAAGAAGACCATTGCAAAGAAAGCCTGAAATAATTCAGGCATTTGCGGGATTCGAACCCTTGACCTCTGTGATACCGGCACAGCACTGTACCAACTGAGTGAACAAGCTAACAGGGGGCGCTGGTCATCTATTCAGTTTGATATAAAGGACGATGACGGCGATGCCCATGACAAAGGCGGGCCGGAGTCACGCAAGCGGGGCAGAGAGCTTGCGTGACTCCACCCCCAGCGGCTGCGAAGGAGACTAATGATTATAATGTTACAAGTTATGATTTGACAGCGACAACAATGGCAATAAAATAAGAATCTTAACGAAGACGAGAAAAACACGAAGAAAAAGAACAGTTTGGATCTGTTTAACTCCCTATCATTTTGGCAAGTTCTCTCCAAACATGAAGCTCTGCTTTCTCTCTCTTAAGTTGAATAAATATTCACTTGTTTTTCTCATAACGAGGTCTCAAATGGTACAATAGCATCACAGCCAACAACAAAATCCACAGTAAAACCACTAGCAAAGTGTTCAAGGAGGTAATTCGGCAAAAAAGCCAAAATATAAACAGATAAATCAAAGTCCTGTAGGATGCAAGAAACCGAAGACTAATCTGTGGCTCTAATTGCCTCTGAGAGGAGTGGAGTGGGGAGGTTGAGGGGTGGTTTGAGGGAGTGGGGAGAGAAGCTTTCTTTAAGGCTGGGGATAGATAACAGGCGACACTTTTGAAGAGTCTTGAAGTTGTGTACGTCTTCTCCAAAGTTTGTCCGAACTAAAAACAGAAAAGAACATGTCAGTGGGTATATACATGTAACACTGGCTGAACATTCTTTCAGCTTATAAAAAAAGTGGCTCTGTTATAATAAACAGCAAGGAGACTGGGAAATGCATTCGTTATAAAAAAGGACCGCTATATCGGGGTTCCACTGTATGCAACTTGGTTCCCGGGGTTCTCTCTGGACCGCAAGTAGAAGACAACCTCGTAACGAGGTTCACATTGTATGTTGGTAAGCTGGTGCTACACGAAATCTCTGTAATATACGTTCTTTTCTCTTTTTGGTATCTTCAGAAAAAGCTGCTACAGTCAAACCCCGCACGCACGGGCACTTTCTATGGCCCCCCTCAGAGTCTCTATTGACTGGGTTTGACTGTTATTGATGTCCAATTCAAACACCATTTCGCTCACTTCCGGTCAAACCCCGCTTTACGGACACACGCACGGTCACTTTCTATGCCCACCATCAGAGTCCGTATTAACTGGGTTTGACTGTTATTGATGTCCAATTCAAACACTATTTCGCTCACTTCCGGTCAAAGCCCGCTTTACGGACAGACCCACGGGCACTCTCTATGGCCCCCATCAGAGTCCGTATCAACTGGGTTTGACTGTTATTGGTTTCCAATTCAAATAATACTTCGCAATATTCTATCACTATAACATTGTTGGCCAACAACTCTCAACATTAGGGAGTTTACGCAACGGCGATGAAAAACGTCACTTAAAAAGTGAATTTGCCCTGCCTCAAACTTAATCGCGCTTATTCCATCTCGTTTAATTTGTCAGATGTTGTTAAATTTTTGGGGGGTTGAATTCTAAAGGACTGCATCAAAGTTCAGGAAAAGAAAAAGAAAGTTGTTCTCTTTTGCTCCCGTCCTCGACAAAACGTGAAATTACGCAGTTTCTTGTAGTCGTGCAACGACGGTAGAGAAATGCACAAAAAAGCGTGATGCACGTGCAAAGTTGTTGTTTTGCTAATGTCTAAACCCATTGTTTTTTTGCCATTCTCGTTGCTGTCACCGTTGTCGTCGCGTAAACTCCCTATTGTTGGATGTTACATGTTGCGTTCGTTTGCACACCCTGTTGCATGTTGTTGGGCGTTGTAGCGCAAAGTTTGAAACCGGTCAAACGTTTGAGCCCATAACTCCCAACATTTCTTTTGTACCGTGATCGTTGAAGCGTAGCGCAACAATGTTGGATCCGTTTGCACAGCTGAAGCTCTTCCAACATTGTTGGGGCCACGCACGCGCATGACACATAGTCTCCAAAGTCTTATGGGTTGTATCCTTCCCACGATGCACTGCAGGTCCCAATATTGTCGGGAGTTGTTGCATCCGTTTGCACACCACTGCCAACACGGACGCAACAACTGCCAACATTGTTGGGCCAACAATGTTGGCAGTTGTTGCATCCGTCTGCACGTAGCTTAAGTCTGAAGATAACATATACCTTTTCATTTAAATGTGTGGAGAGCTTGTACAGTAGGCGCACCAATGTTGGATTTTCATAACTACAGATTGGTTGAAGTTCAGGATCACCACTGTATTTGACTTCAAATTTGCGAAGGCCATTTATCATCTACAAAAACAAAAATGTCCGTCTAAGGGATGACAAGTAAGATGACAATCGTAGAATCAGATAATGACTGAATTGACTATGGGTCAGGGTAGGAGATACCGTATTCACTCTCGTAAGCGTCGCGGTGCTTATTTCATTTTTCACGCCTCAAATTTGATGCTTACTCAAGGGCGGTGCTTATTTACGGGCGGCGTTTATTTGAAACTTGGACGCGACAAAGAAGAAGAACGGTTGCGGCGGTGCGATTTTAATGACGGAGCGAAGCTGCACCTTGCCGACCTTGAAAGTGGGGCGTCACATCATGGATTGGTTTTATGCCATACTTTGGTGGAGTGTGAACACCTATTTGGCCCGTCGCGGAAATAAATAAGTAGGAGCCAGGACTGGATCCAGCTGAGACGGAAAACAATATTAAGGAGTGAGAACTAGAATTTAGTGCACCTCGAGGAGGACGAGGAGGGGGAGGAGGAGGAGAAGAAGGAGGAGAAGAAGTGTTCCGTTCCGACACAAAGAACGGCCGTGAAGCAGACTACCCCCGGCCGTTGCTGTTCACACAATACCGAATAGCAGAAATCCATAACCCGGAGCGAGCAACTTCCATGCGCTCGTGTCACGGCGTTTTCACGAACCAGTTTATTTTAAGAACGTTTTTGGCGCCAATTTTGAATATCTTTTAAATTCCACAAACCAGTCAGCAAAACCTACAGACCTAAAAATGATATTTTTTGCCTTTTAATAGCCGTACACAGACTTTGTTTTATTTTTGTTTTCAAAAACATCGGCGAGCTCGCGAGCCAAGAAGGCGCGCGAGAACGAGCGTGGAGCGCGAGAAAGAAAAATATACCCCCTTGCGCTGGCGGTCAATAAATCTCTTGCGGTTTATATTTTATCACCCGCGCTCGACGTACTTTGAAGAGAAAATAGAGGGTCTGTGAACAGGCTACCTTTTTATAACGTTTAGGTTTCCTTTTTATACTTCGAATGCGCTCAAAGACATGGTGGAGATTCTGTTTTCGCGGGAAAAAGTGCTCTAAAATGTGTCTAAAAGTTAACTGGTCCATAAAAACGCAGTGACATTGGCCTAGTATGGGAGTTACTCGCTCCGGGTTATATGCTCCTGCGAATAGTTGTTCGTGGCGCCATGAAAAGCTATCCGGTATCGTGTGAACATAGCCAAAAGCACCTGAAAATTGCACCTACTTGATAACGTCCCAGGGGAGTGGGTACAGGTCCATCATCAGTTTCAACATGATCTGGCAAGGAAGACTGGTTACTAGCTAATGACACATTCCTCTTTACAGCACCAGGTGAAGTTGTCTCCCATTGAATAGTGCTGTTTAATATACTGCCATCAATAGAATCTGCAGACTAAAGACAAAAATATTAGTTTTTGAGATGGTCAAGGATAGGGAATCCTACGAAGCTAACTAAATTGGCCACTTTCAGATTTCACATAATGGACCCAGTTTACCCCCAAATAATCTTGCATAAGAATTGTTTTCAATTTCTCCTGTGTATTACAGTTATTCCAAAAGTAGGCAAAAAGAATTTTGCTGTGCATTTTCTTTTTTTGGGGGGGGGGAGGGTAAACTACCTACCTACCCCTCCCCTAACCCAACATTTTGCTCTAAGTTAGAAGTAAGTGCTAACGTTGAATAAGGGGAGGGGTAGGTGGGAAGTTTCCCCCCCAAAAAAAACATTGATCCAAAAAAGGTGTATTATGGGCAATGTAAAAGTGGCGAATGATGGGTGTGATTTTCATAGCTTCAGCACAATGTACATTGGTACTGTTTAAGCTGCGGCTAATGACGTAGCCTGTTCCAGGCGTTCAGATAGTAGAGCGCGGTGTTCAGTTGGTGGGGAGCAAGTTAAAAATTGTACGTGGGGAAAATGAGGGGGAAAAAACGAGGGAACGCCTGCAACAGGCTACTAATGGTGCTAAAATCTACAATAGCCAAAACAAAAATACTAGTAAAAAACGAAGGTCACAGACTGCGCGCAACAAAAAAACTGTTTACAAAAAACTTGAGTATCTTTTGTTTTCGAAAACCGTTGTGATTGGATAATCTTCTTCCAAGTGCACCGGTTCGAGTAGTAGCACCGTAAACATTAACCCACAATCATGAAAGTCTCAAGGTTAGGTGTCTACTTACTCTAATAATCTTTAAAATAAACTCGCAGCTTTTTTTCAGGTATGAAACAAGTGTTCCCTCCTCAGCATTTCTATCAAATTCACCTCCATGGGACATGTCACTTTTGAGGGCTCTCATGAAGACAGCAAAAAAGCCTTCATTGTCCTCAGGTGACTGCTGAGACTGGTTCTTGTTGGTAACCTCATCGAGCGCGGCTAACACTCTTGAGTGAAGCTCACCCATCTATACAGCGGAACACAAACAAATCAGAATTATTACTCCTTAAAGGAGGGTGAAGGGTAGAATGACTGCCTCACATGAAGGATTTGGATTTTAAAAATGCCAAAACATTAACCAAAAATAAATGTAGCAATAAGAAAGAGCTGGAATAACATAGCTGAAAACCTGACCTTGGTTGCGCCAGGCAGATGGAACAGCGACCTGAATGAGTATGATGGTCCTTCTAGGTCCATTATATGACTCTTGATTATTGAGCTGGGTGTACCAAGGCTTGTCAGAGGGGTGTTACGGTGACTCCCTGACGGCATTAAATAAGCCTTCTCTCCTAAAACAGAGAAAAATCAGGTTCTTAAGGCTCCATTGAATAATGTCTCCAGGTTAAAATTTATTTGTATGAGTAACCGCAAAGAGTAGGGCATTGCTAAAAAGGGATGGACCATTACAAAAGTTATGGGGGCCGGGTGATGTATAAAAAAAATATTGTGCAAGGGAAAATCTTACGTAAAAAATTCATGGACACGGAGTAGCCCTAAAAAAATTCATGCAAGGGAAATGTTAACCTGCAGATACAGACTTATTTATGGTCATCGCTTCTCTCCAAAGCGACGACCGGAAATATGTCTGTGTCCAAAGGCTAGGGAAATGTTAACGAAAAATAATTATGCAGCTTGAAGATTCCTCACCCCTCCATAGCTTTTCTAATGGTCCATCCCTAATACATCGCTGCATGCATGCATGTAAGGTATTCAGACTAAAAGTTCTTCCTTAATTATCATGCCATACAATTAGCAGTATTTTTAAAGAAACTGTTAAAACAGTAAGCTCAAATAACGATTGCTAGTAAGCTTACTCATTAGGGAGTTTGCGCGACCAAGATGACAATACCAAGGAGAACGTTAAAAAACATCAAATTTGCTTACACCTGACACATGGGTTGGAATAATTATGATGAAGTTTTAAAGAACACATTCTATTAGTGATGCCTTACAGCTGTCATTGTCCTTAATATACCGTATTTATTCGAATAAGCGCCCAACCTCGAATTAGCGCCCACCTCGAATAAGCGCCCATCCTAAAGGCAGAAAAAGTTAATAAGCGCCCAACCTCGAATAAGCGCCCACCCCTCCTCCTCCCAATGAAACTCAAATAAGCGCTCACCCCCACCCCACCCACTTGAGTGAATAAATTCCAATAAGAGACTTCCCCGAGGACGGAGTTTTCTTCAGAGTATTTTACAGAAACCTTGCTTTGTTACTTCTTCGCATTTTGTTATTAGCATTGATTGTTTTGTTGCAAAATAAACATACTTCACTTGCTGATAATGGTGAAAATTTAATAAGCGCCCAGCCTCGAATAAGCGCCCACTCTCAAGGTCCAAAAATTTAATAAGCGCCCAGGGCGGTTAATCGAATAAATACGGTAATAGAAATACACACCTTCTTCAACCATTTCCACCAAATGTGGTTGAGCAAATACCTGATAAAAAAGAAAGTAAGACAAAGCGGCCCATTAAGAATTATTAAAGATGCCATTATACTTATTAAATCCTGGTTTCATTGAAAGGTATGGAGTTCACAACGAAAGAAAGTAAAATTCCATTAACAGATCAGACAGTAGAAAACATAGAAAATAGTTCCTTGTACGCATGAACAGTGTATGTACCCTAAGATATTCCAAAAATGTTTTCTTATTATCCCCAATGTCAGGCAGTTTTTTTTCAAAGATTAACATAACACAAAATCACCATAAAATGCAATTTTCAACATCCTACTCAAAGCCAACCTAGGAAATTATTAATACTAATAACATTAAGATCTCTGAGGGTTCTAGTCCTTGTTCTAATAGGACGTAAAATTAAAGAGGCCTTCCAAGGGGATGAAGCAACAGGTGTCATGGCCCCCCAAAAATGGCAGCAATCTTCTCAGAAAGCACTGATAATTGACAGAAAAGGAGGAAAGAATTCTGACAGTCACAATCTATTTTTTAAGTAATTTTTGACCGTTTCAGCAGCGAAATAACAATCTCTCTTCCATCATTTCCAAACATTTTCTGCTGTTTTCTTTAAATCGTTTTCTGATGTCTGAAGAACAGTCCCTCCAGGGAGAAAGGGCAATAACAATTACTTTTTTCCAGGCACTTTATCTGCCATAAATTCCAAGATTGAGTGTCACAAAAATTGTGCTGAACCAACAGTGACATTTTCCTTCACCTACAAGGTGAGAGGGGGTCTCAGAAAAGACCGACAAAGTGACAGGATACCCCAATTTGGAAGGATCATTAAAGACTCATTTAAGACATTATATAAATACCCTGCCATAGCGGTTTGAATTACAGAGGTTCTTAAAACCATTCAACAACCCCTACCTTCAGAACTCTAAACAGCAGCTGAGCATCTTTCGCAGAACAAAGATTGAAGCGACACGCTCGCGACACGAACTCAAACAATAATGCACAGTAGAACAACAGGTTCTCAAATACAAATGTTTTCCTGGAAAAAAGAATACAAGTAGACTGCTAAATAATTAAATTACATGTTGAGGATCTTATCATAATGTATTAACAGCAAGAAGCCTCAACTTATTTAACTTTGCTTGTTTCCAGGGCCGTACATAGCGGGGGGGCGAAGGGGGCAGTTGCCCCCGCCAGGAAAACTAAATGTTTTTTTTCTAACATAGTGTCTGATTTTGCTGGGCTGTTTCTTGTAGCTATATTGGTCCGAAATCTCACGAAAACCGAGTTTGCCCCCGCAGACAAAAAATCCTAGGTACGGCCCTGGTTTCTTTAAAACATTTTTCACTAGGGAGACTGGGGTGAGGATGACTAGGACGACTGGAATAACTAGGGATGACCAGGATGACTTGAGCAGGATGACTGTGACTTTGGAGAAACAGGAGAAACAGGAGAAACAGGCCCCACGATACTGGGATGTTTAGGGATGATTGGAATTACTAGGATGACTGTGGTGACTGGGATGAGAAGATTGACTGGAATGACTGGGGCGACTGGGATGGCTAAGATATGACTGGGATGACTAGGATGACATGATACTACTTTGTTGGTTTAATTATTGATAAGTGATTGATATGCTTCAGTTAATGAAGCCAAAAAGGTGACAAACAGTTTTAAAAATTATGTCATTTCATTTGCAGTAATTAAACATGTTGTTGATGGACAAAAGCTTGAATTTTTAACTGTAAGTTTTAACAGTAGTGAATTGCCTCATCTTTACTTCATTTGTTAATTTCAAAATGCTATTGAAGGACAACAGGCAACCATTACTGCAGCATTGTTTTTTCCTCCTTTGACTTTTTTTCCAGTTTCATAGCCAGTCCCCTCTGGTAACTATACTTCATGTAGTAGGAACTTCTTGGCATCAGAGAGATTAAGTTACCAAAGGTATTTCGCTAACAGAGATTGAGAGTAAGGTTGGAAAGGCCATGCCGTAACATTTTGCTTACCACACTGGACTTGCCGTTTCTCTGGAGTCATCATCTTTTTCAATGGATGTTGCATTGTGAACCTTTGAATATCTCCAAGGTTGAATGTAACTCAACCAGGTCTCCAAAACCTGGAATATATGACAAAATTCCAAAATGCACTGATTACTACTGTCTTCATATACTGATAAGAACGATAAGTGCCACTTAAGCAGTAGAAAACGTTTTCTGTGTTTGCATTGCCTGATATAAAAATGAGAGAGGTTCAAGACAGGTATGTAAACCCGAGATGAAGTCAAGGGTTTGCATAACTGTCAAGAATTCTCCCAACCTCTTGAATGTTTATATCAGGCTATGCAAACACAGGAAAGAAGGTTTCTATTGCTTTTACAAAATTACTTTTCTGAGAAAAAAACAAAACTCTTTGAAAGAGAAATTCTTACTAGTCGCAAAGTGCTGTACACAGAGTTTTGTACGCATAATCAGTTCTTGTTTTGCGAAAAAGATGCTTTAAAAAATATGGATTTTTCTTGCTTAAAATGTCAGCAAATATAATTGACTCAGCATGTTTGTAAAGATTTTTCAAGTTTCAGCCAACAAGGAAAAGGGTAAACAAAGTAAACTTGTCCAGTTTTCACCTCAAAACCTCTTTCAGATTCATGCTTGTGTGATAAGCGCATGGAAAGCAAAACACCTTGATATATCAACTGTGTTTGCATAGTCTCACTTAAACATGCTTCTTGGCCAATCAGAGTGCGCGTACTATCTCAGTTACCAGTATTTTATAAATTACTATAGTAAAAGACCAAGATAAATTATAACATGGACCAGATTTTCCACAAAAAAACCCACAACTTCTTCAACACGACTCTCGATGTGCACCCCTACCTTTTACACAACACAGAATTCACCCATAATTTCACTCCTTGAATTTTTACAAAGTGACCAATCACAAATAAGAGCTATTTCCTGAGAGGTCACTTTTGTGATAAAAATGTTTTCTTTTTGCTTGTAGGCTAATTAATATGTGCATATTAAAACACATTTGTACTGCTTAAAATGAATAAACCGCTGAAAAACATAAGGAGAGAGCTTTTATTTAACCAGACACCTCTGTCTGGGCTACCATTGTGGTGCCACACGCTGTGAATATTTGGAAATTCAAAATGCTGTATTTCCAAAATGAAAGACTCTACAGACTGGAAACTTCTATGTGATCAGTCACCTTCAACCAGGTATACATAAGAATTCAGAGCGGCCTCGCTATTTTGATTTTAGAATTTGATGACATGATGGTGAAAAGACTCTTTATATAGAAAGGATAATTAATTAAAATACTTTATACTCACATATCTGAAGTTGGGGTCCAGAGGCCAATGTGAAAAACAGTGCTGTAGAAAATGATACAATTTCTTTTGAAGAAACTGAGGAATGATGGCCCTAAATGATAAAGAAATTGTAAAAGTAAAGACAAAGAATGTAAGCAGCAATCCATGCCAAAGTAAAATCAACTTTGCATGGAATATATATTTTGTTGTTGTTAATTTTTATCTTGAGTAATTTTTCTTTTCTTTTGTTTCAACTTCAGTAGCATACACTACCCCGACTACCGTACCCAAAAACAAAAGAAAAAGAAAAATTACCTGAGATAAAAAATTAACTACAACATATAGTAAACTGGTGTCTCCTTTTGTCCCACAGACTATTTATCAAGTACCGGTAATTCATGTTGATTCATAGTTGTGTGATTATTTTTGAAATGTTATGAAAATAACCTTTCACTTCTAAGAGTGCTATCAGCCCACAATCAAATTTTGATTTTCAATACATTAAAAAGTGTTCAAAAAAAAAAGCAAACCAAAACAAAACAAAAAAAAATTAAGCATTTGAAAGTACAACAAAACTGAGGTGGTTTCATAATATTGAGTGGTTTACAGAGGGAGTCACAAAATAACATTGCAATCACAGAAGCACAAGATAGCAACACCCCGAACAACAATAAATTTAAAGAAACCACAGTTAAACTGCTAAAGGGGAATGGCCACACTGTACAGGATTCTTTCAGAGACTCAACGTTAAACTGCATGAAAATATGTATGTAATGTTAAGTATATTAATCCTAACACTGGCCACAGAAAGAATTAAATTAGCATTAATTCTTTACCATTCACATGCAATTTATGGAAGTAACGGTTGATTACTGTCTTGTTCTAAAATGTGAAAAATACAGGTATCCAAGTCCCAAATAGGACAGCTTTTTTGGGAAAGATCATCTTAGCTGTAAGGTTTTTCTTAAGTTTAAATTCTGCCTTTTTTGAATACTCTGATTCAAGTCTATCTGTTATGGTAATATTTTACCTCCTTAGATCATCATAAGGGTGAAGAACAGAGAGTTGATCCATATCAGGTCCCTTGGCATACACAAAGGAATGGACATGCTTCACTAATATCCTCACCACTCGCACATGGTCTAACGTTGGCATGAAATACTCCTACAATTCAAAAAAGATCCTTCACTGTTTATCAAACAATTATTCATCATATCAAGAAGTATGATGTAACTCCTGCTTCTGTAAATTGGTAATGTTAGCACAGTGAATTGACATGGTGACAGAAAATGAAACAAGTATTGAATCCCAATATTATTGATATCAACCCCTTTTACACACCAGGCCGTGACATCCCATAAGAGTCAGTTCAGTGTGGAGCTGTGAGATGTAGCATACGCCACAGATGAAACTAGACCTCTGGTTAATTCCATCTGCAAGCAAGCGCCAAAATCCCTGTTCTGGGCCCCAAGCTGTTTGCCAGGATTTGAATACACATCATGATTGTTAGAAAAACCATTGTTTATTTGGCCAATCAGTTTAATGGTAAATTCAAAACGCTCTCCCGGTAATTCATTTTGACTTTGTAAGGCCTCCAAAATAAGGATCTTGACACTGCTTCGAAGACATAATCAGCTTGGATTAGATTGTGTCTGTGATGCAGGCTATGGAAGATGGGGCATAGAGTTTTTTTGCCCTTATCTTCCAAGAAGATTAGATAATACCATTTGCAGATTAAAAACAAAGGCAGCAAATTTACTACTTGCCATAGTTATCAATTTTAAGACCCTGTGTTAGACTCTGACTGCAAAATTTGAACAGTAATATGATATAGCCCCAATCACAACCTTTCTGGAACTTGTCGAGTCTCAGACTTCAGAGCATTAGTCCTTGGTTCTATTAATAGAACTGGGGACTAATGCTCTAAAGTCTGAGACTTGACAAGTCCAAGAAAGGTTGTGATTGGGGCTATTTCAAATTACTGTTCAATGCACTTGTAGTTTGACCTAAAGGTTATTTAGTTGCCACGTAATTACCTGTCCACGTGAAAGAACATTTCTTGAGATGGAGTCTGCTGTGTTCTGATTTAGCCAGAATTCTATGAGAATCTGGAAAGTTAACCAAAAGCAAAACAAGAATGCTAAACATTTACAGTAATATTCAACATTCACTCAATTAAACATTCAAAGTTACCACAAGTAAACTCTAGAGTAAGTGTTCTCAGTCATATATCTACATATCATATCATATCATATCATATGTATCATATAATAAACTATTAATGAATTTTAATAAATATTAATAATAACAATAATAACAATAATTCATAAAAATGTTGATGAAAATTTGAATCTTTCCCATCTGTTTGTTACTAACTTGCAGAAATGTTTCTGCTCTCCAGGTTTCCTGTGATCCATGATTTAGCATTCCATGATGTGTGGTAGGTGGACTAGCTCTGCCTGGGGTGGGTTTGATCAAACCTTTAAACTGATTTTGAAAATAATGGGTTCTTGCATAATGACTTGAGTCATGCCTGGACGAATGACAGAAAGAAAGAGATAACATAAGTACAAACTACATCAAGGAAGCACATTCAATGCTGTCCCTTTCAGAATTTATATAAAGCACTTGTAGAACAAGTACCACAGAGACTTAAGCCATGTTCTTACTATACTCATGGATAGCTGTTGGGCCGGCATGAAAAACATACCGGATAGAGTTCCTGTTTACAAATAAGAAAGATGTTTTTGGTGCAATTTCTGTTACAGAGCAAAGCTGTGCTGCTCTGATATCACATAACGTCATATCAGATCAGTATCACATATCAGATGGGTTCTGTGTCACACTTTGGTGTAGTTTGGTTTAGGTATTCTGATCGTAGTGAAAGTGCTTATTTGTTAAAGTGGGCCGAAATGTTTACAAAACTGCTAACAAGGAGAGCCTTGATACATACTAATCAAATCCTTCTTTCTAGAAATCGGCTAAAGCTATCTCTATGATCTTTCACACATGTTTTTCAAACGATTGAAACTAGTATGAGGAGAAATTGCACTTCAAAAGTGCTCTGTTTTCTACAAAATTAATAATGGCTGAACTTCAAGATTGTCCAGTTTTTACAATATTTCTAACCATAAATAAAATATCTCAATAACGATCTTACAGATTTTGCTTAAAGTGCATGAACAGAGAGGTGGCTATTAGAGGAAAAAGCTGGCCCATGAATGATTTTAGAAGAACAGTTCCCAGTGCTGAGAAATACCGCTGCAAGTTAAGTATGTAATGGTGTCATATCATTGCTATAACAACTCCGACGTCATTGTAACCCTGATCTTAACAAATTTTCATTTTTAACTCATATAGCTGTGGTGGTAATTTTTCCAAATCTTACTTTGTTAATGGCAATGTAGTTTATGCTCAAACTTGGGAGGTATTGACCCTGAAAAACCCTATTGAGCCACCTTAAGCCAGATACACAACAAGGTTAACACACATAATTAAAATTAGACTTACCGAGATGAAGGAACATTCCTTCCCAATCCAACAGATGTCTTAGCCTTCATGCTGTTGAACGGAATTGCTGAACCATCTGAAGGCAGGAAGAAGTCAAGGTAGTCATCCAGAACAACTAGGTACAGGTAGTCCTGAGCTGGATTCACACTGGATTCCTGCTGTAATAATCATTATGATATGCAATAAATGCAATCAGTGTATAATGCAGAATGCATGCTACAGACTGATCAACACCTCTTCAAGGATAATAATTGTCATGAAGGGAAATGGTCTAAGTTGTGATACTGGTGTGTTTTGAATCATGAGTACAGCTCAAAGTTTGCTATAAATAATAATAACATGAAATTATTTTGACTAGGATATATTTTTGAAACAAAAAACAAAAATTAAATAATGTTGAAAGATGTGGAAGCAAAGGAATGTAACATTTTGATTACTTGCATCAGCCATTTTCCATCACTTTTTTATAATAATTAAGTAATAATAGCAATTATGATATTAATAATAATTGTAGTTTTTATTAATTTTCACACTCCAATAGACAGCTTACCCTGTGTGCCTGCTGATAAACAATGTAGTAGGCAAAATGAAACATGTAGTATTCAAATGTATCTAGCAGATAGTCAAGTGAAACTCTGAAAATCTATATGCTTTCCTTACAAAACACACTTCTTATCATTACAATATTACATAGACAAAAAACCCATGGTTATTAACGGTCTTCACTGGACTATCCTAGGGATGAGAGGAAACTAATAAACAGATTACACAACAGGGTATACATGGGTCAAAGAAAATTTTAATATTTAATTCTTTTATCACATTTCACATGTTAACCAGCCAGTACTTCAAGACTCTCTATTGTTACCATTGTTCATTGAAAAGATTTCTTGATTTCTTATTAACTTAAATTCCCTGCCTAATTCTTTATAACCAGCATGCAATAAACAAATTTGGAAGACAATTAACAATGAAATTATTCTTTGAAATTGCCCATATCATTATGATTGTTGCCAGGTGTACAACTATCAACAAGAAAAGGGACAGCAGGGTAAGGGGGCGGGGAGGGGGGGGATTTGACATGTTTTGCGTAGAAAAAAATAGCTGAACTAAAAATGCAATAAGAAAAGCAAAAATAACAATCAACAGATGACAGCTGCTGTTTGAAAAATATCACTAGACTAAACATCCACTTTATATCCCAAAACTGCTGATGAATAGGGAGATGTTATGAAAATAGACAATTTACTTCAATCGAGAAAAGCATGTTGGATTTGGCTTTTGTTTGATATGAAGAATATCTTATTGTTATGCAGATCTCTGAGGGTGTTTTCCATTTGGCCGATAAAACCCTCTTTCATCTGCATAATTCTTTATATGATACTCAACCTCATCTGATAATCATTGGTTTCACCAAGTGAGGCAACTCACACTACAAATCATGTACTTTCAATGTCTTTATAGGATTTGAAGAAGGGGTTAATTATTGTACTAGTTCAGCATGTGAGCAGAGGATTCTTGATGTGTTAAAAAGATACTGAGTAAAACAGCATTGATAGTTTCTCCTGGAGTTCTGATTGGTACTTTGTCATGATATAAAACTGGAATCATACCTTCTGATAATGATGCTCGTGTTGGAAACTGAAAAAGAAATAATAATAATAATAACTAAAAATTTACAGTAACTGCAACACAGTACCCAGAGGGACCAGTGAGAAGAGACTTGCCAAAAGCGTGGATTGTTCAGCCATTGTACTTTCAGTGCCTTCAAATCAAATTTCATGAATAATTAGGGATAAGAAGCAAAGGAAATAGAGAATCAAGCTAGGGTAAAAAAGAATTGAACCTGAATTTATTTTTAATTTGGCCTGTAACATATATACATATACATGACAAATTGATAGGAGAATCTAGAAATTTATCAGAAGTCACTTGGGGTTTTTATTCCAAGTGCCCCTACAATTTATCAAAACAGAAGCATATAGCCCTGAAGAGTATAACTCTGTTCCAATGCTGGTCTTTTTTTTGAGAACCAATCAAAAAAAAAGAAAAACTGTATCGAGCCACCTTAAGGACTTGAAGAATTCTCAATTAGCTACTTTTTTAGATGGCGATGCCTTCAATCCTCTGATTCCACATTTGGGCTAAAAAGTTTACGAGCTTCTGATTGGACAGTCGAAAAACCCCAGCATGGTTCTAAACAGATAAAAGGAAGTTGGACACTTCGGGGTTATATGCCTCTGATTGAAATAAGTGTAGTGATTCTTTGAGGTGCAGTGGCAGCGAGTGGTCAACACTAATTTGCAGCGTCAGATCTGGATGTCCTGGTTCTGAAGCTTTATGAAACTCAAACCAAGTTCACGTACAAGGTTTGCTTCTTTAACTAATATCAGGCTGAAAATAATAGCCTATCATCAGACAATGTCCAGCATATATAACTGGGAATTTGACAGCAAACATTTGTCACACCTATGATTAGGACAAGTCAGTTTTGATCACATTCTTTTTCTGTTAACAATGCTTTTGACCATGCCACTGACCACCATGCATCTGATCCAGTTCTGGCCCTGTCTCTTCCAACATCTTTCATGCAATGCACATTCTATGACAGGAAGTGAAATTTGAGACAGGGCCAAGACTGGACTCGACTGGTCACTCCCCATGATTCATTGTTTCACATGTTGTTTAAGAATAGAATGCAAATCAGCTGTGTTTTGAAGTTACATTGTATGCAATTCAACAAAGCTAAGCAACAAATACATTGCAATAGTTTCAGCAAGTTGTGCTGTTCATTTATCAGTGCTTACAATTTTCCTTTCACAAAATTCACTTTTGCATAAAAATTGCTTCTAAACAACAGCTGTCACAATAGTTAAGGGTAAAACATTCCAGAAAACAGAAATGCTTGCATGTATAAGTCTTTGTTACATGTATTAAACAGCAGATTTCACACTTCAACAAAGAATTTCCAGATCAGTTGAGGTTTCTGGGTAACTGACCATCTACCCCTCCCCTAAGTCACAATTTTTCCCTTGGTGAGAAGTGTTAATGGTGCCTTAGGGGAGGGGTACCAAGAAACCTCAATTGATTTGATAAGCCATACTTACAGGAAGACAACTGATAAAGAACTCATATCTGTGTTGATCATCAGCCTGAAGTAAGTCTATCAGTTTGAAGACTGTACCACCAGGGGTTAAAAATTTGCGCACATTGGCAAACTCTCTACTATCACGAGACAGAGTTTTTAGGCCCCAGTCTGTGTTGCCTGAATAGCCAAAGATGTTACTGAGAAGCTGTGGAAAAAAGCCATGCAAATTCTGCAAGATAAAGGAAAACACGATCAGTATTTAGCCTGGCTCACATTGTACTGATAATACAGAAAGCTCACCATGGTCATACCACGTTAGGGCTGTGCTCATGTGCAGTGCGCCCAGTGGCCCCTATCGCCTTACTTTTGCTCTTGGATGATTAAGAGATCGTTATTTTTTTGGATGATTAAGAGATCGTTATTTTTTCATAAAATTGAAATTCTGCACCCCGTTGAATTTGACAGGTTCAGAGCACTGGGCTCCCTTCCTCTTTTATTGTTGTTGAGCACATCCTTGCTGCATGGCGTTGGCCATAGAGCACCTAATGTTAAAACTTTGATCTACTGTAGAAATAAAGGGCTGAGTTTTTCAAAGCATGATAAGCACAACACATTCAGGTTTAAATTAAAATTGACCCAGGATTAGAACTGAGTTTTAAACAACTTGGCTAAACGTTTAAAGCAAGACAGTGATGTCTGTCTATATTAAAAATCGAAATACTATCTCTTGATCAAGCAAACTTGATTTTACCACCAAACTGCATGACGCTATCTCTGATTTAATTTTATTTGTTTTTCCTGTCATTTAAACATGACAGTGTCCAACTAGAGAGCTCTCACTACTTTAGACACTACTCACATACAATACCTCTTCTTTTCCCTAAAGATTAAACTGCTCAAAATCCTTTTTTTCTTTTATTTGTAATATAAGTGTGTGGAAATGTCCTTTATGGTGTAAACAGATAATTGAATTTATTTGTACATGATTTCCGTTCAACTTTTCAAAAATAATAAATCGTATTTGCTACCTTAATCACAATTTATAGCTCAGTGTTATTAATAGCACTTAAATAATGATAAAAAACAACAACAACAACAACAAAAACAATTTATTTTTTGCAGTATTTCAGTAGACTCCTTGTACACAATAACTCTGCAAGTAATGTCACAGGAGAGTTTCCTATATCAAAGGATCAATAAGTAATTACCTGTGTAGAGGAACCCTCAATTAACTTGTCAATTTCTTCACATCTTTGATGAAGGGGCTTCTGTAAAGCCTCTCTGGACTTGCTCTGAGTGAAAAGCAGAGATCTCTACTACTACATGTCCAGTAATGTTATAATGTTTACCTGGCACCTTCAAATTAATATATTCACATAATAACAAAGTTTTGCTACAGCAGGGTTCTGAATTTTGATAATATTATATGTGTATTTTACTATCACTGGAGAAAAGATCTATCCCCATATGATGATTAAGAAGAGCAGTTGGTAACCGAGAAGTAATTACAGATAGAAGAAATCTACGACTTCTAGTTGGCTGGTAACAAGAAATTAGTTTGGATATGTGAACAGAACAGGAGATAAAATTGAAGGAGACTGTTCATTCAACCTCCTTTGTTATTCACAAGTTTGTCCAACTGCAGCTCACTGTCTATAGTCACTCCAAGATCTTTAGCGGCAGGCATAGGAAAAACACTGGCAGCATTAACCCAGATCTCTCTAATTACAATGTATCTCACAAGTGCCATAATATGACAAGAGATGAAAACCTTCAGTCTTGCCAGGGTTGCACATGAGGTCATTGAAGAGCTCCAAGTCATGACATTAGGCTGATTTAGCAACAGGACGGGAACGTCAGTTGACGACGGGAAAGCACGCGGGAAGGACTAAACACGACTTCTGGTGCTCAATTTGCTGCCCTGCCATTGGTCAAGCCAGTTGTTTGATTTGCGCGCGCCGTCATCAACTGACGTTCCCGTTCTGTTGCTAAATCAGCCTATTGTTTGTACAAAGCTGAAGGTTAGAAAGTTCAAGTGGTTGGCTACCAGAGTCTGTAGATCTGTCATCAGCATACAGTACAGGCCACAGGTATTGCAGCACTTACACGAGCGTAAATTGTGTGCAGATTTCCACACAAAAAACTCATATGTAAATGTTTACATGAGCCCTTGCAGACCTTTTACATGCAAATTTGAGTGTATTTTTAAGGTGACTGATTTTGGTTGTAAAAATACATGCAAGTTGCTTATTTCTTTACAATGTCAGCAAATATGGCTAATGAAAAATTAGAAAACGACATTGTGGAAAAATGTCTTTTCACGGTGAAAAAGAAAACAACACTATACACTTTCTCTTACTGTGAACGTCATGTTCTGTAAATCAACGGTGACCTTTCATAACTTTCAACAGTGACCTTTCAAAACTTTGCTTTTTTCAAATGTTCATCTGCCATTTTAGCACCATCTTGAGTTATTACATCATGGACAAACCATGGTCATGTGCTAGGCAACGAAAAAAGCTCACGTGCAGCAAGTTTATCTTTCTTTTTTCTAAAAGAACATCTTTACAGTTAACAATGACACCTAAGATATAATTATTATTGCACAGTGTTTTGATGAATGGAAAATTGAAACAGTGTGAGCAGAAAATAAACAGAGTTCTGGACCGTTTAGAGACGTTTTTACAATCTCCCCGGCTTTGGAAATAATCTACATTATTTGTATGCTATGCACTGACAATGGTGCAAAATGTTTTCTGATGTTTGCATGACACACTTTGCATTAATATTATTGGTGTAAATTACACAACTCTGAATTTCAATTTCGACCATTATCGATATCTCTTGACATCAGAAAATGGAACTCCCTCTTGCCCAGCCACTACTTTTTGGTTCCCTAAAGTTTGAGTTATACTTCCGTTTTAGCCATGGAAATATCTTTGAAAGTAGACCTTTTCACGGTTTTTTTCAACTTTTGACATGGACAAGTTCGGGAAAATCCGTTGACACCACTGAAAAGAGCGCCAAAAATTAGAAAAATTGTCAAGTTTGAAAGTGATTCATTGAGAGCTAATGAAGATACAGCTCCTAAAGTCGTGAAATTTTAATGCCGTTTGTATAGTGGAGGGCACAAACTTGCCCCCACCATACAAACGTCTCTAAATTTTCGCAACTTTGCGGAGCTTTGCCTTCTCTCGCTAAAGACGTATCACTTTCAAAACTAGCCTCCCACGCAGACGTTCTTAGGAGTTCGTCACGCGTTCCTGCCCCACGTTCGCCATTTCAAAACTGGCAATTCTATTAATTTTAAGGCGCTCTTTTCAGTGGTGTCGATGGGATTTCCCTAACTGGTCCATACATAAAAAGTTGAAAAAACGGGAAAAGGTCTATTTACTCTGTGTTACTTCCGTGCACATTTGATCAACAGATACTTTAACCTCACCCTATCATATACGATTACCACCAGTATTTTCCAGAATCTCAATTATATCCACATATCGCAGTCGTGCGCGGGAAGATTTGAAACTTTATAATATTAAAATGAACCAATCACTGCTAGCTAGCTGTTATTCCCATCACTAACTGAATACATTTCCAATGCTTCTGGTGAAACTTGGAACAGAAAACATACATTTTTTGATAGAAAACAAACTGAAATTTATATGAGTTATCATTTAGCATACTTCTCTTACCCCAAAGTCGACGTTCATGACTTTCCTTCCGAAGGAAGAACCACGACCATTCCTATGGCAGGAATGAATTATTGCGGACTTTCCATGTATTCTTACTTGAAGATTCCCGGAAATTGATCATGTGAACGGCACCAGGCCTCCCCTGCGCCCCTCCCCTGAAATACCACAACCATCATCGACGCCGGGCTCTGTGTGTATTTTCCAGAGTTTTTCCTTAAATAACGCAGAGTGAACAACTAACCTCAAGAAAATATTCCCAAAGAGCATCCAACAAAGCAGGCATGCCCCTTTTTGTCAGAGCATCTCATTTCCGTCATGTTTTTGGAACGGCAGCCAAGAAGGAAAACTGCTACGCCGAGGGGGTCAGAATATCAAAGAATTCTGTAGAGTCTCCATACTGCGCCGTTAATCCGAAATTCCTCGCTATCATTGTAGCTTCGGCTGGTGGAGGTGCATTTCTTGTTTTACGACATGACGAGGTAACCTTTTTGTTTCAATTTAGTCCTCAAAATTGCCAAATTGTTTGGTGTCGGGGGCGCAATTAGCCTGTAGCTGAACTTTTTTAAGTGCACATCAACCTAGAAGTTCATTATTTTCTGTTAGTTTGTCTTGCCACTAGTACATCCTTGTTTCAGTTTTGAAGCTGATAAGCTAAGGAAGGAGGAAATTGCCAAGGAGGGTGTAACCTGATGACATGAACAAATTATGTATGCACGAGTGTACTATGTAAGCTTTTACTGGCTAAAGTGCATGGCGGTTCTGTCAAAAAGAATGACAAAGAGAATGACATCTTTTGACAATAAATTTCTTGATATCCCGTTTTAACTACGTGGCGTCACAGAAAATTCTTATCTCTCATTATTATTTCTTACAAGGTCATTTCCTGGTTAGAGACCACCGGGAGCAGGGGTGGGGAGCTGTGGTAGGGGTGTTGGTATTAAGATTATGGGGTAGGGGGATTGTTTTTCTTTGATGGCAAAAAAGGGTTGTACAATTCTTACTCTTGTGTTTTCATCCGGATGAGTGGATCCACCTTTGTAACAAGCTAAAAATGTCCACAAGACATATTTTATAAACTTTGTTGCATTGGGCAGCAATTTTGGACACCCAGTGCTGATTTCAGTATCACAGGATAGCTCATGCCCTAGTCAAGTTAATTTTCCTCAATGGTTCTTTCTTCGTAATGATATGTTCTCCACACAAGACAAATCAACGGAGAGGTCTGAGGCACATGTTACTTTAGGATTTCAGGTACACTGACAGGGGGATGGTAGGGGAGAGAAAAAGAAATCGCAATCAATATGTTAAAGTTAATTTTTTATCTCAGGTAATTTTTATTTTTTCCCCTGGTAACCAGTTGAGTGTAATAACCACTACACCATGGGGACAACCACGCTGGCAATGCAGCAATTGAAGATGTGATTTACATGTTTTGGGTGTGGTCCTTTGGGGAAATTTTCCCTTTAAGGTGATAAGGTAGTGGAAGCCTATAATTCCATTTGCAGGTGAACTAAGTATCACTTTAAAGGGTAAGTAACAAAGTCAGCTTAGCCAGCGATACAAAGGAGGATCCAATTAAGGATACAGACTATTCAAATTAATATTTTTAAATCACCATATACCTGTACGAGAAATAACAACTACTGACCTTATACACCCCAAATAATCATATCAACAGACTAAAATAATCTTTGAAAGAAAATTCTACCCTGAGGTGGATTTGAACCCATGTCCCCCTGGTAACTAGTCGAGTGTAATAACCACTACACCCTCCAGACAACCACACTGGCAATGTGGCAATTAAAGATCCTTGTGATTTGTGTGACTATATATTTTCATTTGGCTGCAGCTTTGTTTCAAAACCTAAAAATCAATATTTTCTTGTTGGCATTTGATAGGCTATTCTGCTATACAAATGTACAAAATCATGAACAGGTTTCAGACAAGAGAAATCCATTTAATGTTGTTTGACACACAATTTTGAGTGGGAAAGATAATCAATCATCCTTTTTAGAACGAAGTAGCTAAATTTTGTCCAAAAGAAAACTAATAAAGTGAAAGGAAAAGGAAACTTGCTGTAATATTACATAATGTGTGATGTAAATGCTGTCCACGCTGTTTGTCTTTGAAATTATCAAAATGGCTGCTCTTTTGGCCACCCAGCAATCACAAACAACCAGAGTCAAAGGTTTCAGATATCTGTTAAGTCCTGTTTGGTGGTAAATCAACCTGACATAGCATTAACCTTAGGAAAATGTTAAATTAAAGTAGAAACCAAAGTTTGCTTTACTTGAATAGAGCCATTTCTTTTTTACCAATTACCAGAGTTTCCCTTGAACTGTTCTATCACATGTGATTTAAGGTTAACTTTACGAAATTGCATCATCACATAATATCAGAAGCCCTGGATGTGATGAATACTGTATTTCCTTGAATTCATAAGCATGGGCACACATTCAAGGAAATACGATATTACATCATTCTAAACCTCTCTTTATTTACTGTAGTTGGGCAGGCTTGATCCTGAGCATGGACGTGTTGGTGGTCACAAACAAGATGTCTTGGACGTGGCCTGGAATCCTTTTGATGACAATATGATAGCATCTTGCTCTGAAGACACCACTGTTAAGATTTGGCAGATTCCAGATGATGGGCTGGGCAAGACAAACCTGACTGAGCCCTTGCTAACTCTAGAAGGGGTTCACCAGCGAAAAGTTCATCAGATTCTATGGCATCCTACGGCAAGCAACATTCTTCTTAGCGCAAGTTATGACCCTGTAATTGCCATCTGGAATTTGGAGACTGGTGAGGCTGTGGTTGAAATTGACTGTCACCCAGATCTTATTTACAGTGTTGACTGGAATACCAATGGAAGCCTTATTGCAACAACATGCAAAGACAAGAAGATTCGAGTTATTGATGTACGAAAGGGAACAGTCGTTAAGGTGGGAGTGAATTGATTCAAGTGTTTTGCTTTTGCTAAGTTACAGCTAGACATGCAAACCTGTCAAATGTGACATGTCACCCTGAATGTATGCAAAAGCATAGCCTACAAGCAAGCTCTCTGGGGCACTCTCGCAGCGGGGCGGGAAAAGGAAGGAGAGCTTGCAACTATGTCTCTGAAATTTGAATATCTGCATTGAAAAAGTCGATGTAAAATGCTGATTGGCAGAGATCATGGTTCGCACGGGCCTTGAAAAGTCATTGAAAATTGGGATATTGTGGGATATCCTTGAAAAGTCCTTGAATTTTCATCAGAAGTCCTTGAATATTTTTGAAAGCTCCTTGAATAAAAGTAACCTTTGGTAAAATGGTGTAAAGAAGTGTAAAAAAGGTAAGAAGAAGAAGGGTCAGTGTCTGTACAATAATATTGGAACTTGACCCTCAATACAAAGGCAGAGTAGGTTCATTTGAGGCAGAGGAAATGAAAAAGGAGGGGGCAAGAGTAGATTCCGATATAAAATCTCTGACTGAAACACCAGATGAACTTTGCTTGAAGGCAGAAGCCTTTTGTCATGCAAGCCAACTCACTTAAAAAAAACTGCCAAGGAGAAAATGCAAAAGTTAGCTGACTTCGATGTAAACATTAATGCCAGTTTGCAAAAGCTCAAACTATAGTCTAGTCAGATTGTTTCTGTAATAGACACAATCTGAACATTTTCCACGGGTTTGTAATAATATTTTACTTTATGTTATTCTATGTCCAATTATGGGAAAAGAAGTCATTGAAAACTTGAGTTTGGTCCTTGAAAAGTCCTTGATTTTTTCCCAAAAGAATCTGTATGAACCATTAGATGTCATTACCCTTGGCAAGTGTTTTTCAATGTTTGTTTACATTCACGCTCGTTTCAGCTTCGTGCTGATTGGCAGGAATCTGACAGCTCAGTCAACAGGGAGCCAAAGGGAAATTGGAGGTGGAATTCAAATTTCAGAGAAGAGACGTAGTTGTAAGCTCTCCTTCCTTTTCCCTTCCCGCTGCCAGAGTGCCCCGGAGAGCTTACTTGCAGGCTAGCAAAATCACAGGCATGTTCTCATGTTCAGTGTGCTTTCACAAAAGGTGATATACCATAAAATCCCTGTTATAAGCCCCCCCCCCCCCAGCTATGAGCCTGTCTAGGTCCCCCCACAAGAAGGGCCATGTCGAGATGTAAGTACATATGTCTTGTTTTGAAACTCCCTTTAGTTATAAGCATACAAAACACTTTGAGTACCTGAGGTTAAATAAATGAAGTTAAATAAAATAAAAAGGGAATCATTAAAAAAAGACAAGAACGCTCTTAGTAGCACTGAGTCTCGTTTGCTTGGAGATAAGTTTTGTTGTCAAAGGCACTGCTACTGTTATACTACTTTTTCATTTGGAATACAAAACAAGTGTTACATGTCATAATGTGAATACTCGAAACGTAAAAATTGCAAGGAGAGACAGGGCGCACATCTTAGCTTCACACCAGTGTGAAACCTTTGAAAACCTTCTAGATATTGATATTGCTCCAGTGAGGAGAACTCTTTCAGGGATTTTACACTCAAAACATTGAACAAAGATTTTTATCCGTATAAATATATATATAACTTCCATGTAGCAGACCAAGATACTGCTCAGTACAGTATATGTTTAGCATAGGAAAAATGTGTAAGTTTAGCAGAACCTTATACAACAGACAGTTAATTAAGTTCATGCGTATTCCTGTTGAATTTGTTATCCGTTTTATAAGATATCATAATCGCGTGAAACAAGAACAACAAGTTTATTTCAAATTAAATATAGCTTACAAAGCTTGTGCCTGCAATTAGCGAAGGCTATTCGAGGCGCGTACAAGAGAAAAAAGAAAATTCTATAAATAAATATATATATATTAAATGAACAATCCTAGAAGCAATCTAGTTTGGCGTGTGGTCTATAGCCAGAGTGAGACAGGAAGGCAGACTGTACTTCATATGGAAGTACACCATGTTACAATTTTGAGAATTGCCCTGTAATATCAGAAACTGTAATATAGTCATCCTCTTTTTCCAGTATTTCAAAGAGTTTTCTCTTTAGTTTGCTTTTGAATTGATTTTTTTTAAGTGCTTTGATAGAAAGTGGAATACTGTTCCAAATTAAAGCACCGGAAATAGAGAAGGCTCGTTTCATATTTTCAGTTCTACCTTGTTCAACACAGTAATTTTCATTTGTAACAGATCTAGTCCGGTAACCGTGGACAGAAGACAGTTATTCGTGAACATATTCTTAATTTAAATAGATCATTCATATACAAGAGAAAAAGCAAGGGTCCCAGAACGGAACCTTGTGGTACTCCGGAGAGGAGAAGTACATTTTCCATGGCTGCTTAGTATCTGCTTTTAATATCTCCATACAGTCTCAGAGTACAATGTTTAGAACTGTACAAAGCATGCATTTTATCACAGTATCACTGGGATAAAGCATTTAATTTTCCAGGAAAATTTCACTTTCTCGTCAAAACAATCACTGACTCAGCCAGACTCGGAGCAGTGTACTTAAATTTTGTGTTTAGTACAGGGAACAGGGTTATGTTCTGTGAAATTTATCTACAGTCTGCAGCCCACATCACCACGATCCACAATTTATTATTGCTGCAGAGCAACCGTAGGGAGCGAGCAGCAACATAATCAGGATTTAAGGGAAATAGATAAGGTAGAACGAATTCTCGAATTCATCACTTTTTACCAGAATGCATTGCGCCAACGAACAACTCAAATATTCGGTGGTTGAGAGCGTGCGCCAATCATTCACTGCCCAGACTCAGAGTTTTTTCGTGGCAAATTTTCTACAGCACGGTTAGAGGTCTTACCAAATTGAAGACATGCAGAAGTCTTTCAGATGAGTACGATGGTTAACTTGGGGATTGGATTTCAATTCAAGATCCTTTGACTTGTCCAGGCATTAAACTTGACGAGAAGATGAGCATTTGCTCTTCTACTCCGCAACACAGAGGATATACAAATTCCAGCTTGCTAGGAGGTGATGTGAAAGTGAGAAAATGTCATGCCATGCTATTCTTAAGAACCTGTATGAGCCGAAAATGTATGTGATTTTGACCATTAGCTCCAAAATAACAGCGGAAGTCGAGATAACAAAACATATGTTTTGCATCCTACTTTGCAGACGAGGATGTGTATCAGCGTTTTGTAAAGCATAATAATTATGTTCTATCATTCATTCATTGCCATGGAATATGCGTTTACGTTGTTTTTTTTGCTGTTAATAGCTTGGTTAATGCAGCTCGATCATCTTGCCGGTGGAAGTTTCATGGAAAAGGCATTAAATTAAAACTTTTCCCCAAAGTTACATAATCAGCCTCTGTGATGTAGTGGTAAGGTATAGTCGTGTCTAGCCGAAGGTGCCGGGTTCGAGTCCTACTCAACTCTTTTTTTCCTTCTTTCTTTTTTTCCCCGCTTTTTGTGTTGTTGTTTTCATAAATACATTATAAATAACTGTTATTTAATAAAGTGCAATAAACAGAAAGTAAAGTATTTTGTTTCCAGAGAAAAGATAGTTCACCATATATTAAATGTATGGATAAACAATCTGAATTTCTATCATTTCCTACAATTTACTGTGGGAAAACCAGAGTTGATAACCACTTGATCATTTTTCTAAACAACGTTCTCATGAGTTGTTTCTATAGACTGATAGTAATTGTTACTTTCCAACATGTAAATAGGACATTCAATGTCATTTTTGATTCTTTTAAGTCTCACTGCCTAACTAATTCCAGTATCAACAGAATGTGCGGCAGCTTTACTATCTTTTAGATACCCTAGTTTTATTTTATATTCAAGTTTTTTTTAACTGATCCTCGATCCCCGATTTGTGATCCCCGATCCTCAATCCTGATTTTCCAGTAAACTGCGAAGTTTTGCTCATTAAGATTTTTCTTTTTTTTTTGACCACTGAAGTAATTACTTGTTCCAAAGTAATCAACGCTTTCAAGCGACAGAATTCATGGACCGACCCATTCTGGAAAAGCTCGATATGGGATTTCTATTCTATGGACATGAAGTGCTGCAAGTAGAGTGCATGATAGTCAAGTACAAAGCTACCCGCATAAACACATCCGTGACACATACGTAACATCACACGGGTAGTTGAAGTTGCTTCCAGTAGTAGTCGAAGGTTAAATCATTGATATCTCAAGCATTTATAAAGTGCAATGCGTCAGCGACTTCACATTTTAACAACTACAAAAAATCTATCAATTAAATACACACAAGAAATTGAATCTATTTAACTGTAGAGTATAATGCATAATAATTACACAAAAATCAAGGGCCTTGATTCAGGGAAAATTACATCATTGCCAAACAGCGAAAACGTGATCAACTTACATGCATCATTTCAGTCATCACCGAAAAAAAAACTTTATGCCCATCACGAGACTCATTTGCATACGATGAAAGTTATCACTCGTTCTTATCCCCAGTTTCCACGGTCCCTGCTAGGAACGCCTGACCTACCATTTGGTGCCCACACACAAAGAAAAGAAAGAAACACCTGCATTTTTAGTCTTGCTCTGCTAAAGCAAGCTTGACTAAAAAGAAAGGAAGACAGGCCTTCTGATAGAGTGCAATAAATAAACAGGAATCATACGGCATTTTCAGGGCAGATTGGGTAATGAGAAACGCCTATTGTGCAATAAGTTATGCATTGTTACACTTAGAGTAGTACTACTAACCATGCTCAGGATGGTAAAATGCAGTTTCCATTTTTACAATTTCCATTTGAGAATTCTTGGACACTTACAATGCCCTTTTCTAATTTGTTCAATTTTTCAAGTAACTGCAAATTTTTTTGGCAAATGGATTCTAAACGACTGCATTTCAGTTCAAAAAAAAAGAAAGAAAATTTTTGTCTTGCATTCACTTTCCCCATGAATCTTGTAAATAAAGTTTCATGCTGTAGTCATGCAACAATGGCAATGTACAAGAAAGCGTGATGCATGTGCAAAGTTGTTGTTTTGCCAATCTTAGCCTACTGTATTTCTCCGAATAATAGCTGGGGGTGATTATTATTTTTTTCGCACTAAAAGGGGGCGATTATTTGAGGGAAATAATTAATCGAGGGACGGCTATTATTCGAGGAAATTTGGTATTTATTTTTGCCGTTCTTGTTGCTGTCACCATCGTTGTTGCTCTAGAACTCTACTGTTTGTTTGCCCTCCTATCACCTCTCGCTTCAGTTTTCCAAAGTTTAGAAATTCGCTCAAATAGCTCTGTTCTACAGTTCTCAGGGACATATGTACTGTAGTGTGGCTTCCATCTCTCTAAGTCCGCCTCTGTATTTTAGAATTCCTTACTGCTTCAGTGTATTAAAAACATAAGATGGAGATCTTGATGCAAACTTGTGAAGGTGGAGCAGGCCATTGTGATTAACATCCATGCTTAAATCCATCACCCAACACCTAGTCAATGGTGTGTTGATCACAGTGGAATATTTCTTAAATCAACATGAACAGTCTTGAGCTTGCTTTCCTTATGCTTTGCAGGAGGCCAGTGGCCATGAAGGGGCTAAACCACAAAGAGTGGCATTTTGTGAAAATCTTGGTTATCTGTTCACCTGTGGCTTTTCAAAGATGAGTGCTAGACAGTACGCAGTTTGGGATACAGTAAGTTTGATTTTTCTGAAATTTGTTAACAATAAATAATGAAAGGTGATAAATTTGTGCTAGTGATATCATATATGAATTATACCTCTTCTAAGATTGAGAGAGTTGATCATGGCAACAGTGCAGCTCTCCCAAAAGAGCATCTAAAAGTCATTTCTCAAAAAAATGTTTATTATGAAAACTAGTATGGTGGCCTTTAAAATTTTGTAAATATTAGGTGCGGTTACAGCCCGGGGAGTACTTGACCAACATTTGGTTACAGGTGAGCTGCTGAAAGTTTGAAAGCCTGACCCTGTTAAGGACAAAAAAAATCCTATAATACATACCCTATCTAGGACAACACCCTCAATTTTATTACCCCGTTTAGCAAAGGTATTTAGTAATGATTTTTTAATCTGGCTGTATCTCATTTTGAATATCTGCCCTCAGTATGTATTAAAACAGTGGATAGTGTTTTTTGCACACTCTGACTGGCTACTCAAACTTGCAATATCCAGTGCTATTCACCTCCAAACAATGTCAAACTTGGGTAACGTATGAGCAAAATGGCTTCACAGTTTGTTACAGTAACAAACAAAGAAATTTCACAAGTAAACGAAGAAGCTGTTCCCGACAACATGAAGATAGTGACAAAATTCGTTTTTTTTACAGGTAAATCTTGGTCTGTTTAACCTGAATTTATCATATTTTTTTTTGTTTACAAATGCAAATTAAATCTTGCATTGCTTACTGGTATGTTAAGTAGTCTTATCTTATTTAGATAATGTGTTCATAAATAAGCTTAAAACTAAATCAAATGGTGTTTTAAACAGAATGGTTTCAAACACAGAAAGAATTCACAATTTCTTTGGAAGAGCAAGAGCTAAACAAATGGGGGAGACTGGGGAGACCGTCACGGCATGTAGACGTGTGTTTATAGCTTGCTCTGCTCGCAGTTAAGAAATTTACTATATTTTTGAAGTGCCTATGGCTTCTTTGTCAATTTATTTAACCCCAAAGAGAAAATCAAGAAGTAGTATTTCATCCAGCAGCTCTACTGAGGTTCTCTAGATGAAAAAAGGTTGAAATCAATGATCTCGCCATCAGCAAGTAATAAAGCCAACAGCGATCGTGAAGTTATGGCAGCTTTAAGCCTAACTGAAAGCCTCATGAAGAAGCTTGACCTTATTCTAGCGAGACAAACGATGACTACCGAAAGACTAACAAAGCTGGATGAAAAAATGGACGAGCTTAACCAGACAGTGAAGGGTCTTCAAACTAAAGTGTCCTATATAGAGACTGAAGTCGTGGCCGTTAAAGGAAAGCAGAAGTCTCTTGAAGAAGATTGTTCCCATATGAAAGAAAATGCAAAATTTATTGACGAAAAAATCGCTGAGCTTCAGGAAAGTGCGAACAAGAGAAAAGCAGCTATCAATGAATGCTGTAAGCAAATCCTTTATCTGGAAGCCTACAGTCACCGGGAAAACCTGAAGTTTGAAGGGATACCGGAATCATTTGAAACCTCAGCCCAACAGAGTGCTCCGGCTGAAGACACGAGAAAAGTTCTTGTTAATTTTATAGAAGATGCTCTTGGTATAGAGGATGCGAAAAGCATCGAATTCCAACATGTACATAGAATGGGAAACCCTAGGACTGGTATTGGGAATGGTAGCCGTACAATATTATAGCCTGCTTTTTGAGGTATTCGGACAGGGAACGTGTGTTCAAGTGTGGTCGTAAGCTTTAAGTCACAAACTTCAAGATGTTTGAAAATATTCCAAAGGAGTTACACAGACTAAGGAAAATGCAAATGGACAAATTGAAAAAAGCCAGGAAAGACAGTAAATGTGCGTATTTTAGTAAATCCAAGCCTGACAAGCTTTTCATTGATGGCAAATATGTCCGGTTTTAATAGGCATTTTTTGTTAATATCCGTATGCTTTATTCATATCGGTGAAGGAGTTAGAAAATGAGATTGAAAGTTTACGAAAGGTAGTTTTTCTTCCGGCAAGGCTCGATAATTTTTCACTTTTGCAGCATAGGTAAGGGTTTTTTTTTTCTCTCCTAGCTGGTTTTTTCTTTCTTTCAGTGTTAAGCTGTTTTGGGTGTTTGGTATTCGTGATTTTTTTTTTGTTTGTGGATCTTTTATGGATCTTTCAGCATTTTGTACAGTAATTAAGATGTTAATCAACTATACATGATATGCAGTTCTTTTGATATGGATACTGTAATTTGCAGGTCCTTTGTTTTTTCTTTTAGGTATTTAGTCCAAAGGTTTACACTTCGTTTTGTATTGTACAGGTTTCATTATTCTCTTTTTGCTTTATTCCTTGTTCTGATTAGCTTCTTCAACCCCACCTTTTTTCGCTGATTGCATCAAGATGGTATTGGACACTTGTAATTTGATGTCACTGAGTGTAAGGGGCATAAATAACTTTTGTAAACAGCGAATGATCTTTACGTGGTGTCAAAAACAAAAGGCCGACCTAATCTTTCTGCAGGAAACCCATTCAAAGAAAGACTCTGAAAGACAATGGAAAAATGAATGGGGAGGTGATATGATTATGTCACACGGAAGTTCAAATTTGTGCAGAGTTGCCATACTTTTCAAACAAGGGTTTGATTGCACTTTTTTGTCAAAATTCGAAGACCCACTGGGACGCTATTTGATCCTGAAGGCGGAGATCAAGGACAAATTGTATGTGCTGATTAACATCTATGCACTGAATAAGGATAAAGACATTATAACCTTTCCTAACAATCTGAGAACAATACTCCAAAATGAAAATCTGGGAGACGAAGAAAATATAATTATAGGGGGTGATTTTAATTGTCCGCTGAATCCATCCCCCGATAAAAAAGGTGGTACAATGTTACCGAGGAAATCAGTTATTGAAACCATTGATTGTTCACGAGATGAACTTGATTTGGTTGACATTTGAAGAATTAAAAATCCTTCTTTAAACGTTTCACGTGGAGCCAAAACTCGCCAATGATTTTATGCTGCTTAGACTAGTGGCTGATTTCAAATAATCTTCAAGATTTGGTTTCAGTAACGAATATTATTCCAGCCATTAAAACTGACCATGCAGCCATTTCCTTGGATTTTAGTATTAGTCGAAACCACATTAAAGGTTCGGGTTACTGGAAAATGAACTGTTCTCTTCTGTATGATGATAACTACCAAAGGGAGGTTACCGCGGCTAAAATGCCTGTCCGGCTGGGCGAGGGCAGATATGACCTGCCGGATCACAGATGTATTTGGGATTGGATTAAGTATAATCTTAGAGCACATGCAGTGTAGTTTTCAAAACGTAAAGCAAAAGAAAAAAAGATAAGGAGAACATATTGCAAGATGAATTTAACAAAGAAAAGCAAACGTTTTAATGTGATCCTACCAATAAAAATGCAACCGATTTTAATACGGCAAAAGAAAGTTTGGAACATTTTTATGAAGAAAGACTTCAAGGTATTATCATTCGCACATGGGTGTGATGGTGTGAACATGGTGAAAAGAGTACAAAATATTTTCTCAATCTGGAGAAGAGGAACCATGTCAATAATTACATGTGCGAAAATTGAAGATTAATGGTTCGATCACTACTGATCCGTTCAAAATTCTTTCTGAGGAAAAACGTTTCCTATCAAGAATTATATACGAGTAAGAATTTGGGTAACGAGCAAGCAACAGAAATTTTTTGAATAGTTTAAATATCCCACGCCTCACAGATGAACAAAAGCTTTCGTGTGAAGGCAGCTGACAGAGGAGGAGTGTGTTAAAGCTTTACAAAGTTTTCAGGGTAACATAGCTCCTGGTAATGATGGACTTCCAATCGAATTCTACTGTAAATTTTGGGAAATTATTAGCGAACCTTTCGTCAACTGTGTCAACAAGATTTTTACTAGTGGTAAAATGTCACGCTCCCAGAAACAGGCAGTGATCACTCTCATTGAAAAGAAAGGAAAGGACCGTTCTCTTTTAGAAAACTAGAGACCGATCTCACTTGTCAACATTGATGCCACGATTATCTCTAAAGTCTTAGGTACCTGGATAAAAAATGTCCTACCAAGCATAATTCATCATAACCAAAGTGGTTTCGTGAAGGACCGCTTTATAGGTGAAACTTTTCGCTCGATCTTTGATTTAATGGAATTCTCTCTAAAAGAGATTATTCCTGGTTCAATGATATTTATAGATTTCCACAAAACATTTGACAGCTTAGAATGGAACTTTCTTTTCAGCTGTTTAGCAGCCTTTGGTTTTGGTCCGGAATTTGTTTGGTGGGTAAGGACACTGTACCACATTATTGAAAGTTGTGTTCTCAACAATGGTCTCGCAACTGACTTTTTTTCTCTGGAAAGGGACGTGAGGCAAGGTGATCCACTTTCTCCATATTTGTTCGTGGTTGCAGTTGAAACTCTTGCTTTGGCAATTCGTCAAAACCCAGAGATAATTGGTATTAAAATCAGTGGTGAAGAAACAAAACTCCTTCAATATGCTGATTACACAACGGCCATTCTGTCAGACATTGACTCGGCACAGGCCCTTTTTAACCTTCTCGAAGTATTCAAGAACTTATCAGGACTTATAATTAACTCATCTAAAACTGAAGGAATGTGGATCGGGTTGTCTAGAGATAAAACTTCAAAACCTTTTGGTATAAAATAGCCTGATGAGCCAATCAAAGCCCTTGGTGTTTATTACTCATATAATATCAAACTTTTGCATGAAAGAAAATTTATTGAGGGATTGGACAGTCTCAAAAAACTGATAAACAAGAGGTCTTTCTATCTGTGGAAAAGTAACAATTATCAAGTCTTTAATCATACCAAAATTTGTTTACATTTCCTCGTCTGCCGGTCCCCCAAGGAAATCGTTAAAGACTTAAATCAAATGATATTTAATTTTTTGGGGAAAGGAACCGATAAAGTGACAAGACTTTCCACAATTAACAAATGTGAAAACGGTGGTTTAAAAATGATCCATCTTGAAAGTACGATTAAATCCTTACGACTAGCCTGGCTGAAAAGGATCTTCCAGTGCAACAGTGGTGCTTGGAGAAGCTTTTTACGGTTTTCGTTGGAACCTTTTGAGGGCCTCTTTTTATTTCATTGTTATTATGACATTAAAGAGATACTCATTTCCTCTAAATTCCATCTGGAGTTATTTCAATGGTGGTCTGAGTTTCATAATGTTTTTGATAGTAGAAGGGAATGTCAACATATTTTGTGGAATAACAAAGAGATACGTGTTGATAATAAGCCTGTTTTCTATAAAAACCTTTTTGAACAAGATGTCATTTTCGTAAATGATCTTTTGTTTGAATTTGATACCACAAATTCTTTTACTATTGTTTCGAATAAAATTAGCAAGGTTAACTACCTAATTTGGGCAGGGCTTTGTCACTCTGTTCCAAAACATGTAAAGAATAGCAATTGTCTTCGCTCAGAAATAAGCTTAATATTGACAATCAATAACAAAGAATTTGGTATATTAGAAAAGAAATCTAAAGATAACTACATGCTAATTAAAGAATAATTGCCCAGTGTCCAAAAAACTCAAAACACTTGTGTCAAGATTTCAATCTAACCCAAGACCAGGTGAAAAAAGTATTCCTTCTTCCACATGAAGTAGCGTTTGAACCTTATCTAAAAGCTTTTCAATACAAAGTCCTTAATTCACTTTTATTTACCATAAAAAGTTATGCAAAATAGGTTCTATTCAAGATGGTAAATGTTCACTATGCAAAACGGATTCTGAATCCCTTTACCATGTCTTTTTCAAATGCAGACACACCAAGCAGTTTTGGAAGGAATTCCAATATTACTCTTACATATTGGCAAGAGAATTTGTTTGTCTGACCTTACAAGACGTTATTACAGGAATATTATATACAAATTGCCCTTTACTGAATTATCTGATACTGATTGCTAAACTATACTTATGGGGTTGGGGAAGAAATCAGACTCTTCCAGTCATAACTGCCTTTTCATCCAAAGTTAAAATTAAGTATGAAACAGTAAAGTACATAAGTGTTAAAACTAATAAAATGGACAAATTTAATAAGAAGTGGGCTCTGCCTTTGTACTCTGTGTTGTCTGTACTTAGAACGTATTTTTCTTTTTTTGTTTTGTTACTTTACCGTTAAAGTTCATAATGTAATGTCATGTAACGTTAGTATTTAATAAAGGTTTGAAAAGTTAAAAAAAAAAAAAGAAAAAGAGCTAAACAAATGCCTTCAAAAGTTTATTTATCAACAAGAAAATTTGATGGCTGTTCAGTCATTTGTATGCCACAATATTTTAATGTGACTATTGGCAGCAATAAATGAGTTAAAAATCTCAAATGTTAGGCTGAATTATCTCACTGTTTTAGTATGTTCTATTATTCACCTCAGTGTTGGTGGCTAGTGGTGGATATTTACCTCACCGCTTTGTGGCTTGTTAATCTCCACCTTCACTTAAGTGAATAATTGTCATTGCTGTGGAGCGACCGGAGGGAGCGAGCAGCAACATAATCAGGATTTAAAGAAAATATATAAGGTGGAACGAATTCTCGAATTCATCACTTTTTACCACAATGCATTGCATTTAACCAGAATGCATTATGCCATGAACAACTCAAATAAAAAGACGGGGAAGTTCGGAGGGAGTGCATCATTCGCTGCCCAGACTCAGAGATTTCTTTGTGGCAAATTTTCTACAGCACGGTTAGAGATCTTACCAAATTTAAGACACGCAGGAGTCTTTCAGATGAGTACGATGGTCAACTTGGGGATTGGATTTCAATTCAAGAGCCTTTTTGACTCGTCCAGGTGTTAAACCTGACGAGAAAATGAGCATTTGCTCTTTGACTCCGCAACACAGGGGATAAACAAATTCCAGCTTGCTAGAAGGTGATGTGGAAGTGAGAAAATGTCATGCAGTGCTATTCTTAAGAACCTGTACGAGCCGAAAATGGATGTGATTTTGACCATTCGCTTCAAAATAACAGCGGAAATCGAGATAACAAAACATATGTTTTGTGTCCTACTTTGCAGATGAGGAGGTGTATCAGCATTTTGAAAAGCATAATTATGTTCTTTCATTCATTCATTGCCATGAAATATGCGTTTACATTTTTTTTTTCACTGTTAATAGCTTGGTTAATGCGGCTGGCGATCATCTTGCCGGCGGAAGTTTCATGGAAAAGGAATTAAATAAAAGACTTTTCCCACACTGTACATAATCGGCCTCTGTGGTGTAGTGGTGTCGAGCCGAAGGTGCAGGGTTCGAGTCCGACCGAACTATTTTTTTTTCCTTCTTTCTTTTTTTTTCCGTTTTTTGTGTTATTGTTTTCTATAAACATATAGCTAAATAACTGTTACTTAAGAAAGTGTAATAAACGGCAAGAAAAGTATTTTGTTTCCAGATCTTCCAGAGAAAATATAGTACATCGTATATTAAATATATAGGTAAACAATCTGAATTTCTATTATTTCCGACAATTTATTGTGGGAAAACCAGGGTTGATAACCACTTGATCATTTTCCAAACAACGTTCCCACAAGTTCTTTCTATAGACTGATAGTAATTATTCTAGTACTTTCCAACATGTAAATGGGGCATTCAATATCATTTCGATTCTTTTAAGTCTCACTGCCTAACTAATGCCAGTATCGACAGAATGTGCCGCAGCATTACTATCTTTTAGATACCCTAGTATAATAGAACATATTAATTTGAAATATCATTCACACATCCAGAGGAACAAACTAGCTGAAATTTTGCCTTAAAATTTCCCTGTTACTGTCATCTTAATAATCTGCTGTGTCAACATCAATCTTTTCTCAAACATTGTGAAAGAAACCATTAAAATAAACAATTTTCCATCCGTTTTTTTTAAGTTTGTGTCTATTGGAGAATCCTTATTAACTTTCTTGTCTGGGATATCAACTATTTGCCACATTTAATGTCATGGGTGGCTTCTTTCTTCTTTTTGACTTATCCATGGATTTCCAATGGTAACTTTATCTCAGGAGAGTCTGATCACACTCACCACACCAATTTCCCGAGGTGACAAGCGTCTTTTACCACAGTAAAAGTGTCCTGTGTAGCTGCACCAATTAGAATGATTCACTTCTTTATTATTGTATTTTGGTAATATTTCCAGTTCTGGTAGATGCAGGCAAACCTTTTTGGTAAAAAAAACACAGCTAGCAAGTGCAGCTGAGGACCTTGTGCATTGCATTAAAGAGTGCATTGTGGCATTCACAAACCACAAAAGACAAAGGAGTGATTTTCTGTTACTCAGGGTAGTGCATGCTTAGTTGTTAAACCATTTTGTCAAAACCAGTCAGCGAGTGATTAGAAACCTTTTTTGTTTGTTTGTTTGTTTTTTTAACAGAAAAAAGAAACTCTGGAGCAGTTGACCATGGAGGAAATTGATCAGTCTAATGCTACCCTTTTCATTCACTATGACCCTGACACAAAGATGATTTACTTAGCCGGCAAGGTAAGTTTCATTCATGTCATTGTTGACTACATACTGGAATTACAGCCGATTGAGTGTGCAGAGAAAGTTGTTTCCAACAGACCGGCGTGGCTAGTTGATTTTGTGATCAGGCAAGTAAATTTTGTTGGGCTAGTTATAATGACTCTCGGGCTAGGAAATGCTAGTCAGTCACAGCTTGCCAGAAGGGCAAGCTGTAAAACTGACTTTCTTTGCACCCTGTGGTACGTTACCATTGTTAATGTTTTATAGGCATGTAATATATTCTAATTTTGTGAAAAGTGAAGAGACCAATTATATATTCCACAAAGTTAGGAGCAAAAAACCCTAAAGCGTATAACTCTGTTCCAATGCAGGGTTCTTAGGAAAACCAATCAAAATTTAATTTGATATGGAATTACTGATGTGTAAGACTTTTGGTTGTAAACAAAGTGGTACAAAGGCAATTACAGTTTTAGAAAGTAATCAGAATGAATCCCCAAATAACCAGGATTGACTTAGTCTGCTACACAGCCATTTTTAGTGTCGAAACGCAACACTCCTCCCCATAGGAGCGTTGTGTGACAACACTAAAAACGGCTGTGTAGCAGACTAGGATAAATTCAGGGGACACCCTCAGGACCAAGACAAGTGTCCCCTGAATAGAGGTGTCCCCTGAATGGAGGTTGGGGTGGGGTTAGTTAATAATTAACCAACAAATAAAATATTTTTCTTTCATTCTGCCTCGCAATCTGCTACAGTTTTTATTTTAAGCAGCTAGATAATGTTTAAGTTATTATGATTAACAGATCTCTGCATTGTTGTGTGTTGAATTCCCATGAGTCCAGTACACTGCTTTGAGTGAGGTAGTTCATGTTTTGAAAGCTGTTGCCATTGTGACCAGTGAAAATTGTCAGAGATTTTTGTGTTCAGTCGGGTTTCAAGTGCTAAGGTGTCCCCTGAATGGAGGTTAAACGCGGGTTTTGGGACTGCTGAATAGAGATGTCTTTTAAAATAATAGGTAATAACAACTACATAGATGATGTGAACATTTTTCTGGGACCAAATTTTGTGTCCCCTGATTGGAGGTGTCCCTTGAATAGGGGTGTCCTACTGTATCCCTCAACTTATGCATGGGTGGCATGCTCTAGATGGCCAATCAGAATTCTTCATGTGATGTCAAAGAATATAATTAAGCAGTTCTCAAACTTCTTCAGCCAAGAACCTTAAGCCATTAAGTGAAGGCAAATTTGTGGGCATATTTTGACTCAGTACCAGTATGGTATAACTGTCATAGCTATGAGTTGTCTTTAAAACTGAAATTATTAGTTGCTTTTCTTAACAGGGTGACAGCATCATCAGGTATTACGAATTAGTGGCAGAATCTCCACATTGCCATTGGCTAACGAACTACAGTGCCACCACAGCCCAGCGAGGAGTGTGCTACATGCCAAAACGTGGCTGCAATGTCAACATCAATGAAGTAGCAAAGTGTTTTAAACTTATTGCTAAGGGAGCATCTGATTACTGTGAACCAATCAGCTTTACAGTCCCAAGAAAGGTATTTTTATTTGTAATTTAACCCATTCGCCCCTGAACCGCCCGTAACCACCCGTGCGGATCCAGGTCCTTTCTACCCTTTGTGACGTCATCAGTTTTAACAGTCAAGGACAACTTTCTTCGCTAACTTGTGCAGAGTGAAGAGATCTTTCAAACCATACCAGAATGAGCACAATTCAGTCAAGGACACCGGAGAAAGAAGCAAAAAAACCACGTGACATTGACCTGAAAATCTCCATGAAAATCTTGTTCCATTGCTCACCTGCCTTTCCTTTCACCTAATCCTAAGATCCTAAAAGCTTTCCTAAAAGCTCTTCCCACCAAAATGAAGCCTACTAAATGCCCAGCAAGAGAAAAAAAAATGAGGTAAGAAAAGCGAAAAAAGAAGGGAGGAGAGGAAGCGAAAAGTAAACGTCAAGACTGCTGTGTCACTTTTAAACCCAAAAATCTCCAAATTTTGCTTTCTGCGCATGCCCGAACTTCGCAAGCTGATATTGTGCATCTGGATCAGAAGGCTACGAAGTGTACGAACCTGCAAACCGGTTGTGGTAAGTTTTAGCTCTTTATAGCACGACAATGACCGGAAAACCACTCGACTAGCATCAAAACGCGTTTATCGGCAAAATCTCCAGGAGCGAATGGGTTAAATAATAATTATTTTAATTCATGGGAGCCCAGAAGTCATGTCAAAGAAGATTAACCAATTTATGCTCTTGACATCCAAGATGACTTCCGCACAGGTTGCTGAAATGCTGGTATGGTACTCTCACCTCGATGATTATAATTCCACTTTTTTTCAGATACAGCAAAAGAAAACATAGCATAGCATATAGTGCTCTTCCTTGTGATACTGGCAGAAAAAAGATATACTACTAAACGTGTTCGCTCGAGTAATTCACCATGGATTACCCCTCAGTTAAAAAAACGCTTACACGAAAGAGACATTTTCAAGTTAAAAGCGATTCGTTCGGGAAATGTTGATGATTGGCGTAAATTCAAGAAATCCGTAGTTCTACAAATAGTGAAGTTAAGTTTGCTAAAAAGGTTTATTTTGACAATGCGTTTAAATAGAATCGAGGAGACCTGCGTAACACTTGGCGAATCATAAACGAACTTACATCCAGAAAATCGAAGAGTTCCTTTGTGAACGAATTAAACTCAATAATGGCAATTCCATTCATGATCCACTTGATTGATCCGATTCCTTTAACGATAACCTGAGATCAGGCTCTATTTATAACATTCCGGCGGGCATGGCGAAACGAAAAGAAAGCCCAATTTCAGCGGTAGCCGTTAGAGAGAATGTATGAGAACCGCTCAAATTGGGCCTGATCTCAGGTTACTTTAACGATCACTTTGTAGTGTTGGCCCCAGGGCAGCAAACGAGATTCACGTGGGCGAAAACGGTCCTTCGCATATGGATTATCTGTGCGAGACTTATGAATGCAGATTCGAAATGAGAACATCCACTGTTTCCTTTGTCAAGTCCACCGAAAAAACATTACAAAACAACATTGGAAGAGAGAAAGACAGGTATCAGAGCAGTGTGACCCAAGTTGAGTGTCCTTGATTTTCGGTATAAAATGCGGACTCACGGATCACGTTGGTAAAAACTGTGCTAATTGGTTCTAGGTAAGGTAAAATAAGATCAAAAGACGTGAGTTTAAGTTTGAAACACTCCTAGAAATTCTTGGTAGAGGTGTACCGCCCGGTTCTCCAAATCCAGAGCATTTTTAGACCTGCTCTCTAACATCAAACGGTCACAAACCATGTCATCATCGCTTGGAATATAACGTTGGATGATATATTTCGGTCATTATTCATGTATAGGTGAGTAACCCCCTCCCCCCTAAATACAGGTTTTTTGCATCGAACCTTCTCGTATGGGTCCTTCATTTCCTCATGATCGTTCTTAGTGTCCTCACTTTGAACCGGCTTGACATCAAACAAAACGTTGAATTAGCGCAAGAAATAACAGCGAGATAAAAGAAAAAACGTCTCTTTGATCGGCTAGATCCCTGTGCATCTTGCCTTCTTGAATTTACGCTCCAGAAAATTCAACTGTGCGTGAAAAACTTACGAGCCGATATCAGTAGTGTAGACCTACGAGTAGTCCCCATTGTTCCTCAGGGATAGAAGAGCGAGCGAAACGCGAGCGCGCGTAAAAATGACCCACGCGAGAAAGGCGAGACGCGGCGGGGAGATTTTTTCACGCGGGGTGATATTCACTCGCGCTCGCGTTTCGCTTGCTGTACTATTCCTGAGGAAAAATGGGGACTACTCGTAGTCTATCAGTAGTGTGACCTTCCCAGAATCTTTTACCTAGGTAAAACAAAACCCGAGCTGAATTTACCTCGGGAGATTGTTGATGAATTTGCCCTAGCCTGGGTGAATCGGTTTAACATAGGTAAAAGTCTGTAGTGTGACCACAGTTATTGTTCTCTTTTACAGTCTGAACTTTTCCAAGAAGATCTCTTTCCTGACACAAAAGGAGATGAACCTTCCCTTACTGCTGATGAGTGGCTTGAGGGAAAAGATGCAGATCCCAAACTGATCTCACTTAGACCGGTAGGTCCTGGAGCAGCTAAGACTGCAAAGAAGGTGAAAAAGGGACTTGGGGCACTTGGCAAAAAAGCACCAAAGAAAACAGCGCAGGCTGCTGATGAAGAGGTAAGTGATGGCTGTTATTAAGGCCTTGTCCTGGCTCAGATGAGAACATCACCGTTCTTAAGTTTAGGTGGACAGCGACATAGAGGACGGTGACTTTGGCCGCGGCGGCTTGGGGAGGGACGACGTTGACTTGGCGAGAGAAACAAACTTTAAGTGTCAGTAGAGGTGACGGTCGAAGACGTTTTTTCAACTTTATTGAAGGTTCGAGAGAATGAGTTCCCTGAAAGAGATCCGAGAGATTTTGGCCTACTTTTATTTATGATGGTGTCATATCAGATGAGGAATTCGTTCTCTTGTACAATGAAACTCTAGTTGAGCGCTTTGTTACTCGAAAGAGAATGTTCGTGGCTTCACTGAGCCTATTTGCGATCTACGTATTGCCACATTTTCCCACGCTCCACAGTTCTTAGGCTAACAACGGCTGGTAATCGAGCTTACACGGTTCTGGGCTTGAAGCGGTAGGGTTCACTTACAAGAATTTCTTCAGCAAGCTGAATAGCGTGAACTTTAGTCCACTCCACGTTCTTAAAATAAGAACAAATTAATACGATGGACAATGCGCGCTATAAAAAAGACGAGTTCCTTCATCCTGATTTATCAAGGGGTTTATTCTTGGAAGCTTTCGTCGCGCCTTTTAACCCGGCCCGACTGACTGCCCCTGGGTCTATGAACACGTAATTTCATTTTGGCCTATAACTTAAGCAGAAAAAATGAACTAAATATTTCGTGAATAAAGAAAAGGGTAGAAGGCGATGTTCACATGATGCGAGAATATTAAATGTGATAATTTCATCGCTGGGAATTCTAATCCTGCAATTTTACCATTTTGACAAGTTCAGTGTGCTATATTCCATCATAAAATAGTGTTATAATAAGTAATTGAGAAAGGTTTACCATTTGAAGTAAACTAAACATTACAGAAACAGATAAAGCGGTACTCTGTTAAAATAAAGATATTTTGAAGACAGAAACACGAAGAGAAAACTCACGTTCTCGAGATACCGCCGCACTAAGCTTTCTCACCGTCGCGACGTGCAGTCGACGTAGGCTGGACGGCTTTAGATATATGCAGGCAACTTTTATTTACGGTTGCCGTCCTCCACCTTACCGTCCACCCTAACGTAAGGTCCGTATCATTAGCCTAGGACGGTTGTTATTCTTTGACTCTTTCTCCTTTGCCCATCTTTGTCAATTCAAAAAGGACAGAACTACTCTGTTGTTTGAAAGGCAATGACACGGCTTTGGTGGTGCAGTGTACGTACCTTGTGCGTGTTGAGTAAGGGAAATGGGGCTAGATGTTAGTTGGGGTGAATGTCCTTTCTCATCTCGCTGTGTTGAATTTCACTGTAGTCTGTGGTACTAATAGCAGTTGCAAAGCGTGGACTTTCGTCCTAAGGGATAAGTTTGGCCATGTCTTTGCCATTGCATTCTTCTTTTAGACAAGAAACTTTGCTTAATATTGTCTCCTCTTGTCAGATGTATAATGAAAACTGGTAACACACTCAGTGCTGGGAGGAAACCCTATAATCTACTAAATTCCCATCCAGGGATTAATACTAATCTCTTATCTGTTTTTCAATGGACAAGAGGCTATTGCAGTCTACATACCCAACTTAAGCACTTGTGAAAAGCCCTGGAAAATTAGGCTTCCACGGAGTCTAAACCCTAATCCTGTGTGTGCGTAGTGGTATCGCAGGGTCATTTCTTTATTCCAAAGCATAAAATTGATATATTTTCATAGAGAGTTAACTCTCTATATGACGGACGCGATTCAGTAGGACTACCTGTTTTGTATGGCAAGGAAAGATTGTGTTAAGGCCATATAATATCCCGTTTTTATGGACCTCAACCTTGTCTCTGTCCTTAAAACGCGAAGAAAGAACGTGGCCAAAAATATGTGGTCATGTTGACTTCTAGACCGAAAATCAGCCCGTATTTTTGTGTGGGTTAAGAACGCGTGCGCGAGTGTTCAAAGGAAAGGTCTGGAATGAGGGTGAAAACAGTGAGGGAGGGAATATCAAGCCGGCGCTTCACGCCTTGCAAAACCGATTTTTAGCAAAAAACGGAAACCGACTGTTTTGCAGTCTACTTGACTTCACGCTTGGTCGATAACGTACCGTTACTTAGTTATATAGGCTAGTTTCAGGGCAGTGTCTGTTTTGAGAGTGTTCATTGTACAGTCGAACCTCCCGTAAGCGACCAACTAAAATGCGAAGACTTAATGCTCGCTTACAGGAGAGTGCTCGCTTGGAGGACTTTTTAGTTCTTGTTCAACATCCTTCACTGACCACGCAATCGTAAGAAATTTCTGTCCTACGAAATTTCACTCTTTGAAGCTTTCAAAGATTTGCCGCCAACCTGAAGGGAATTTGCATGTGATCACCTTTGATTATAGAACCGCACTCGAACTGTAGTCAAGCAAATCATTCTGATTACAGTGTAACTGAGCCAATAAACTAAACGTTGCTGATCATTTTTACTCCTTCTAAGCCAAGAAAGTTGATCTAAATCTTGCGAGCGTAGAAGCTGAGGACTCGTAGCCCTTATTATAGCACTAAAGAACCTACACTGAACATGGAGTTGAGACCACTTGTCAAGTATAATGGTCGCTTACAAGAGGTTGAAAGCGGTGGGAAATTATTAGACCGTCAGTCCCGAAAAGTGGTCGCGGTCGCTTACAGAAGCTGGTCATTTACGAGAAGTTCCATCTGTAAGGCCTCGACTGGGAAATTTTTGGTGTTTTGGATAGGTGGTCGCTTACGAGAAGTAGTCGCACATGGAGGTTCAACTGTCCCAAGAGGGTTTCTGATGCAGTAATTTTTTTTTATTTTTTCCATATTCTATAGGATCTAGAGGAATTGGTGAAGAAGCTAAAATTGCAAGTGGACGAACAGGAAAAGCGAATCAAAGCCCTGGAAGAGAAAACGCAGAATTTATAAGTGTACTTGCAAAGGAAAACGAGAAGTGATAAAAAATAGGTTCAACTTGCTAATGTTGCAAATCAGTTCAGTTTGAAATTAACTTAAAGTTCTAAGCAACTCTTAAGCGTTAGCTGGTTAGCTTTCAAAATTGTATTTTTCGACCGATTATTTGTATTAAAAATTGTTAAGGATTTCAGTGGTGAAAGTATTTTCGCTGACTTGCAAAATTTCTAGTTGTATTAGCCCTTGTTTTTCGATTATAAATGATCTCGGCTGATTTCTCCTTTTATTGACCTCATGATCAGTGATACGATTTTTAAATGATTTGAAGATTCTTAAAGATAGGTGGAAACTTTTTTTCCTTTTACACATTAAAGCCATTGGATTATAACTGCTTTGTCAGCATTTTCAAACAGTGAATAGCATCAATGTCTTCTTATCACTGGTTTATAGGCCAATTTACAGTTATGGATGGAAGCGAGGTTCGAGTTGACCTTGTTTTAATACAAACCTCCCTGCTTTATTATGAAAATCAAGTTGCTCTTATGCTAACTAGTGTTTTTCAAGGACAATTTCCAAGACAAAGCAAAGGAGGTTTGTATCAAAACAAGGTCAACCTCAGCCTCACATCCACTGGAAAGCTAGTATAGGGTACCAAGTCCACGTCTGTAAAATGGTCTATTAAATAACATGGTCATCAAAATAAAGCAAATGATCACTAACTGATGAAATGTCGTGACTTAGTGCCAATTTATGAAGTTACCTGTGTGGGGTGCGAATGTTGGGGGCTCTTTACATGACACCGGAATGACTTTCTGAGACAGAAGCAGGTATGCTGCTGGTTTACATGACAGGAGAATGATGCCGTAAAATTCCGAAAATAAGTCCCGGGGCTTATTTTTTTCAAAGGCCCTTTTTGAGGGGCTTATGTTGGGAGGGGCTTATATTCGGAGGGAAGTTTGCGTTTCAAAATCGGCTAGGCTTATGCTTGGAGGGAAATTTGCGTCTCAAAATCGATTAGGCTAGCTTATAGTTGAAAGGAAATTTATGTCAGTAATTTGCAGAACGTTTTTATTAAAACTCGCCTTGAGGACGTAGACCTTTGTAAAACGCAGCCATGCAAGGACTTTGTCTAAAAACCGAGGAAATCCAAGCCAAGAGTGAAGAGTGAACTACGCAAACAGCAAACTGTGACACTTTCTGACTGCAATCATTTGGCACACGTAATAGTTGTTTGGCAAATACAAAAATTATATGTTACTGTACCGTTTTTGCTTTGTTTTATTTTTTCGTATATTTCAGGGCAATTTTCCAAGTACAAGCCCCCGGGGGCTTATATTCGGAGGGGGCGATTTAACGGAGGGTTTTTTGCGTTACGAGTTTGGCCTTTTTGGGGGGCTGCTTATATCTGGAGGGGCTTTTATTTGAAAATATGTGTTACTAGTTAATCTAGATAGATAGTAAGTGATTTTTTAAAGGTGCTATAGGTCCTTGTAGGGGTTTAGCGGCCACTCACGTATGTCCCTGAGACGAGTTGTCGACTTTGTCTTGTTAGGAGGAACTAACTCAGTTCTGGTCATTTAGGGATTAATACTGTATTCCGTTTTTCCTAAAATATTACCTCGTACTGAAACAGTAAATGCTTTTTGCACCGCATCATTTACATCGCGATACAAGTTTCGCGCGACAATCTCGCTTATCAGTAATTCCATATTAGGAAGTAAATTTTGATTGGTTCCCTAGAAAACCCGAGCTTTGCGACAGAGTTACACGCTTCGGGGTTATATGCTTTTGTTTCCAATCATCACTTTCACTGTGAACAGCTAAAAATATGGCGAACTGAATAAAACTACACAGGTGCAAATTTTCACTTAATGGCAAATTATGCGACCGTGAAAAACCGTGAAAACGAGCAAATTTCTGAGCGCTACCAAAGAGGAAACTTTAACAAGCAGGATCCAGTTGTTACAAAGGTGTATAACACTGTCCACTATAATACTTATATTCTCCACTGGATATAAATTTTATTATCCCATGGATAGCTGTATCTACCGCAAGGGGGGGGGGGCTGTAGATCGGTTAATAAGGCTGGTTTGACTGCCGACAAAGTCGGAGAAGTAAGAGCAATTACGACTTGATAAAAATCAAATTCGAAGTCTCAAGCGGAGTCATAGGTCGCACGGAATCGGACTGAGTCGCAAGAATAAAAAAGTGACATTTTCACTTTCTCTGACTCCGCTTTGTCGTTAAAGATCTAGTAAATCCAAAGCGTCAAGCAATTATGTATTAGGTTAAAAGGAATTAAAGTACCCAAGATTGTGCCCAAAAATACTTCGAAAATTTAAGGTGGCTCTGAACTCCCTTTATTTATAAAGGCGAGTCTCAAAAGTAAGGCGGTGTTTACATCAGATGATTTATGATGCCGGAACAGCGCAAGCTCACTACGGTTCCCTCTCGTCAGCTGTCCCGTGGCCCTGTATTCGTTTACATGATATCCACCAAAAAATTTCATGCCCTCACGATTCACAAAGGAGCGATTTCTATGGAGGCCCGTTCTGGTCAAAATTAATATAATAAAATGGCATCACAAGTGACTTTTTCGGCCAGTGCAGCATTTATTATGGACCTCTTGAGTATTTTTGTCATCACTACACAGGATTTTTTAGTGTTTTTATTTTTTTTTAGCTGCATGAATTATTTTTTAATTAAGGCTGTTTACTTTTTTTATGTTGTTGTATGAATAAATTTTTCATGCGTACCACAAATAATTTTTTAGTGGTACCGCGAATTATTTTTAATACAAGTATTGAGAATTTATTTTGTCATCGTGCTGATAATTATTTTTCGCTGTATCGAGAATTTATTTTTGGGCCTACAATGCTTTGCGGGCCTTGCAGTTGAAGTGGACTGGTTCGAGTCTTTGACTTCCTTGAGCGACCATTTTGAAAACTTTGCAAGTGGAGGAGTGTTTTCAAAGAGAATGCCAAGGCGAAACATTGTCAGAGAACTGAAACGACAGAGGTTTTCATCTTTCTTACAAAATCTGTCAGGAGCTAGTAGTCTGTCGTTAGTGATGAGGTTTTCTGGACCGAAGATTTAATAGAGGAGACTACGAAGGGACTTCACGACTCGTACACAATTCTAAACCTTATTCAGAACATGACATGTCTGCCCGATTGAACTGTTCTTTACCCGGTCTTGTCCTCGAATCTTCGTCTCGCACTACACGTGCTGGTTTTCGGAACGAAGACGCAGAGAATGAGAGTGTCCGCTACCCTGAAGTTCAGGAAGAAGCTCCCGATTCTAATCCAGACGGGCGAGCACCAGAAGCAGAGCCAGATGGACTCGAGGGAGAAGACCTATGCTGAGTGCTAGTTAGAGTAGACCTCACTAAATGGGAAATTCGATTGATTTATCTAACATTTATGTTATAGCATTATTGGCTATACATCTCAGGTATCTGACGATGGACCGACTCATTCATCTCCGAATATTAAAAACATAATGTTAAAAATCAGGAATTACTATACTGCCATCGTAAAGGCACTCGAGCAAGTTCCCCATGTTAGTTAGTTAGTGAGGTCTACTCTCACTAGCACTCTGCGAAGGTCATATACCTCGAATCCATTTGCCTCTGCTAGTTCTTATGCCCCCCCCGTCAGGATTTGAATCAGGAGATTTTTCCTGAAGTTCAGGGTAGAGGGCATTCTCTTTCACAGCAATGACAATGACAATGCTTTATTTATTTAGAGTCTTATACAGTCCTATGTACATTGACTTTATCCAAATAATTTAGAATCATAACACAAATTGCACACTAGGGGAACTATAATCAATGTTAACCTAAAGAACTAATGATCTTCTTTTCTCACAGCAGTCGAATACGTATTTTGCAATTAACTTTTGCACTGGTTTGTTCTTGCTCAGCATCTTCCTTCCCGAAAGCCAGCATGTGTGGTACGGGACGAAGACTCGAGGTGTAAGATTGTGTAGAGAACTGTTCAATTGGGGAGACATGTCATGTGCAATAAGCAGGGTGTCCAGCGGCATGGTAGCTCAAAAATATAGGCAAATAGGAGACTCAGCATTGAGAAAATAGGAAAAATAGGAAACTTAGTATTAAAAAATAGGAGAAAAATGGGAAAATCAATAGTACTTTTGTGGACAAAGGTAGCCTCCCTGCACCCCATCAGGGTTAAAATAAATGCCACGAGTCCTCAGATTCTACGTTCGCAGGATTGAGATCAACTTTCGCGGGTAAGAAGGAGTAAAAATGATCAGTAACGTTTAGTTTATTGCCTCAGTTATGTTATAATCAGAATGATATGCTTGACTGCAGGTCAAGCGTGGTTCTATAATCAAAGGTGATCATATGCAAATTCCCCTCAAGTTGGCGGCAAATCTTTGAAAAGCTTTGACGAGTGAAATTTCTTAGTATAGAAATTTCTTACGATTGAGTTGTCATTGAACGATATCGAACTAGAACGTAAAAGTCCTATGGAAAGCTTTCCTTCCATTAATCTGCAATCGGTAGCTGGTTGAGAATATGCTTGTTTGAGTCAAAACACCGCATAATTTTAAGTACGAAACCAGGATTTCTGCGGTGTACGCAAAATGACACTGATGTGTTTGGTACCAGATTGTAAGTTTGTCATGGTTAAGTTCTAAGAAGAACATAACACTGCTTAGCTATGACTGCAAGACCGGTTTTGCAACCAAAATATTGGATCCTTCATCAGGTGCTTAGGTATAGCTGTTAACAAGGGCTCACCAAGAGAGCTAGTGCCGTACACTAAACTTTAGTCTGTTCTTTTCATGTAGCATCCAGAATCAGCTAGTGATCATGATTGGTTTTTAAAAACAAGATGCTGATTGGATTGGCCTGTGTTGTGAGAGAACAACTTGATCCTGTTTTCAGTTTCAAAGATGAACATAAAAGTGAGCAAGACTTCAAAATAAAATATAACATGTACAGATACTGAAATGCAGTTTCAGTGGGCTATACACAATATTATTCAATAGTCAGGAGGAGAACTATAACACTACATACAATACATGTACATGCAGGTTAACAAAAATGTTAACAGAACTCTAACAGGCAATAGAGGTCATGGAAAGAACAAACGTAACTGTTATTTTTACTAATATTAGAATATCAAAGTCAACATACTACTTGCTTTATGATAAATTTCACTCAAAAACACATACAATTATAATTTCATTTTCAATTTTGTTAAAAGTAGGAAAAAAAATAGGCTAAAAAATTGGAAAAATATGAGGTTTTAGTTTAAAAATAGGAGAAAATAGGAATAGGCTCAAAAAATAGGAACTGGACACCCTGAATAAGGGTTAGAATTGTGTACGAGTCGTGAAGTCCCTTCGTAGTCTCCTCTATTAAATCTTCGGTCCAGAAAACCTCATCACGAACGGCAAAGACTACTGGCTCCTGATAGATTTTGTAAGAAAGATGAAAACCTCTTTTGTTTCTTTCCCTGACAATGTTTCGCCTTGGCATTCTCTTTCAAAGCACTCCTCCACTTCAAAGTTTTCAAAATGGTCGCCCAAGGAAGTCAAAGACTGGAACCAGTCCACTTCAACTGCAGGGCCCGCAAAGCATTGTAGGCCCAAAAATAAATTCGCGATACAGCGAAAAATAATTATCAGCACGATGACAAAATAATTCTCAATACTTGTATTAAAAATAATCCCCGGTACCACTAAAAAATTATTTGTGGTAGGCATGAAAAGTTTATTCATACAACAACATAAAAAAAGTAAACAGCCTTAACAAAAAATAATTCATGCAGCTAAAAAAAAATAAAAACACACTAAAAAAATCCTGTGTAGTGATGACAAAAATACACAACGGGTCCATAATAAATGCTGCACTGGCCGAAAAAGTCACTTGTGATGCCATTTTATTATATTAATTTTGACCAGAACGGGCCTCCATAGATTTCCCTCCGGTTGCAGCACCGGACTGTGATATTTCTTTCCGGTTCGAAATCTCGAAACGGTATCGCGTAACATAGGATCGACCACCCGTTTGGGTATGAAATTAGCCTATTGGTTGGCTGGAACGTCTCGTACGGGGTTAGGCAAACAACATGTAGTAAACGTGTTAACACGTTACGAAATCAAAAAGTTACCCTGATGTATGAACCTCGAGCAGTTGTGTTTTTCATTAGAACATTATCGAACCTGTCTAACCGTGCGCATAAAAAATACAGGGCGCAACTGATAACTGAAAACGGCAATGATCACCAAGGATGAGCGCATGCGCGAGGAGAGCTCCTGTAATACGCATCGCTAGCTAGAGTCTTAGGGGGTGTTTACATGACACCGGGGCAACTTTCGTGACGGCGCGAGATCACTCCGGTTCCCTCTCATCGCTCTACATTTGTTTACATGATACCACCACAAAAAAATGTCATGCCAGCGCGAGTCATCCCGGCGTGAGTTCACCCCGGTTGTTGTACCGGGGCGAGAATTTCACTCCGGTACGAAATCTCGCAACGGTATCATTTAAACGGTAAACGACCACACGTTTCGGTGTGAAATCGGTCTGCCGGTAGATTGGAACGGGTAGCGCATGCGTAATGTTTGCGATTTTGAATCTTACGTGTATTTTATCAACATGAAGTGCACATTCAAATAACGAGATGTGAAATGACCCAGTAATAATGTAAAAGCGATGCGAAATAAAAAAGTCATCCCGGTATGAAACTCTTGCCGGTACGAGTTTTCTCATGTAAACACCCCCTTACTGAAAGACGTATTTGCTTAGATTGGTCATACCCAAAATGAAAAATACTGAAAATCAAGTACACGTACAAGTACACGTCAGATAAATAAAGAATTTTTTACTCGTATTGCTGAGCTTTCTTTCGCATAGAAAAAGGGAGTACTATTCCCCGGGGGGGGGGGTACTCCCTGGTGATTCTTGGTGGGGGTGTACCGCCCGGTTATCAAATCCTGACTTTATTTCAGACCAAAAAACGTCATTTTTCACACCCTTTTTCAGACCTGGCCTCTAGGAAATTATGTCATCATTACTTAGATTGGAACACCAACGAAAACGATTTATTAATTCGCACATTTCTCTTTCTTTGTTACCCATTTGGAATTAAAATGATAAATACGTTCATACTCTCCCGTAGTTCCCTTGAAAACCATATCCGATTCCACACCAAAATGGGCAAAGTCTCTACCCATTTTCAGACCAAAACAGCGCAAAAACCCTACCCTTTAGGACGGCACATACCCTATATGGCTTATACAAGGGAGAAACCCCCCGCCCAATGCTACCATTAAAAGCTCCTTTTAGTGAAGACCAGGCAAGGTGTTTCGAAGTATGCCCACAACAGCTTGACGAATGCCTCTTATCTTCCAGCTGTAGATCAGAGGATTAAGGGATGAATTAAGGTACATTAGTGTGAAGACATAGTGCCACAAATCAAATGGCACAGCAGTTAAACCACCGATCAAAGTGGCAAAAGAGAGACAAAATACTGGCACGTAACAAGCTAAAAATACCACATACACGTAGAATGTACTAACTGCAGTTTTTCTTAACCTTGCTGCATTTGCCATGTCTCTGTTCCCTGCTACTCGTAGGGCGTGAATTTGATTTGTGTGGCGTCGTACGGCTGCGTATATTTTGCAGTAAAGCAATCCTGAAGTTATGATACAAAAAGCGTTTATCGTTGCATACTTACTGTATAAAACCTTTTCTGGAATCCATTTCGACATAGGTATGGACAGAAATGCACTTAACACCCACAATAAAAAGACTACAGCAACAACACGCTTCTGAGTCACTAGTTCCTGGTATCTGAGATGAAAATGAATCGCCAAGAATCTGTCAGCAGTCAAAGCTACCACACCAAAGAACGAAGCAAAGGCAAGTAAATTGCCCAGGATGCTGTGTGCAATCCGTAAAGCATAATATAAATTGTTTTCAGTATTTTCTTCTATTTGCATCACAAGAATTGCACCGTACAAAGGTTGGACAAGTAGACCAACTCCAAAATCAGAAACAGTTAGACTCAAAAGCAACGTTTTTAAGGGGGTCGGCAACGAAGAAGTTCTTCTTAGCGCTTGTATTGTTAGGATGTTCAACACGATGGCGGTGTGAGACAAGAAAGCGTTGAAAATGCAGGTAGCGACAAGTTTCGAGTACAATCCCTCACTGACCTGCATGTTTCTGAACAACTGGTACCTGAAGTAATCTACAAGTATTTTTTTCTTTTTGAACGCAGATTGGTAAATCAGTTCTGACTTCTTTCCGAAAATAAATGTCGCACTTTTCTTCCAGTTAACGGATTGACCAAGTAACCATGTTGTCTTAAGATATCCTTAACTAATTAAATGGTTGTGAAAGAGTGCGTTTGAGTACCATACGTCCAATTCTGTGTACAAAAGCTAATAGATTGCTCTCCGTCGCATTTTGGCAGATGTTTCTATACCCTTCATATACACCAGAATACGGGCGGGGAGTGAAAGCTTTAGCTGCATAAAAGAAACTGCATAGTAAGGACATCCGGACGGAAATTTGATTTGTTAACCATATCTAAGAACCTCTTCAGCCTGAAAAATGAAGCAGTTTCTAATCGAAAAAAATACAATAAAGCACAGAAAACACTGGTAAAGATGCAAATGTCTCTTAAGGGTCATTGAAAATTAACAATACTAAGAGTGAATATAATGTTGAAAGTAGAAAAATCTATTTCGAGGACAATTGTTGTCATCCCAGTTAACTGAGAACCTGTTCTTTACTACGCAGCTTGATGTATAACTACTGAATCCAATATCCCAGAGTCATTTCAGCCTTTCACGGAAGATCATGGCTTCTTCACGTAATGCTTAATAAAAGAGCTGTCGTGTTTTATCGGGTTTATAAAGGATAATGCCTAAGTTCCCAGGCACTCTTGAAATAATTACCGAGCGAATGATTAATGATTAATAAAACAGTTATTGAATTTGGCTTTCGTAGGATGTGAAGAATTATTAATGCAGATCTCGGAGAATGTTATCCACCTCGGCCTTCAGCCTCGGTGGATAACATCCTCCTCGATCTGCGGCATAATTCTTCACAACCTACTCAGCCTCATCCAATAATTGCTTATTAAACAGCCAAAAAGGTTTGATCTGCTTATTATTTTGGACGCTTTGTATTTTTTCTAGGTATATTGTTTCTGGAATTGCTAGCTTCTGGGCTTTTAAGACTACATGAATGTCATAACGTCCAATTTGTCAAAAAAAAAAAAATGAATAAGATGTTTGACAAAAAGAGTTCTTGGAAATAAAAAGAAAACACGCTTGAAAAGAGTGACGTCCTTTTGTTTTTGGTTTCTCAAAGCCTGTGAACTAACAAGGTGATGCTTCTCCAGGCCTATGCAAGTAGAAGCCAACGCACGAACAAAGAGCCCCGAGTCGGCACTTAATTATAAAACAGTACCGACAGCAAAATATTGTGAAAATTCACTTCTACTGGTAATTTCAATAGTAACTGATGTATTGTAGCAAATGCATTTAGTTATAATTGTTCCTCTGTCGATATGAGATTTTCTTAACTCGCCAGTCAAAGCAGTTAAACGGGGAATGATTGTTATTATCACAGCCAATTTGTCTTTGGTCCTTTGCCACCGTCAGTACATGATGTTTTCACAAAACTGTTAACAGAAACATCTGAACTTCTTTAAAAAAGAGGTTGTAGATAGTTCTAGTTGCAATATTATGACTAAAATAAATAATCTATAGTAAAACAGGTGCAAAGGCTGGTTTCACTGCGGACAAAACCGGAGTCTTACGCGGAGTCATAGATCGAAGTAGTAGGACTGACACGCAAAATGAAAGCATTTTAAGTTCTCCGACCTAGCTTAGAACTTTGTGGCTAAAGATCTAGTAAAACCCGAGTGTTGAATGCACAGTAGTTAGGAATTTGAGTAACCATGACTGAGCTCAAAAGTACTAGGATGGCTGTGAACTCCCTCTACAAAGACGAGTCTCAAAACTAAGGCAGTGTTTATATGATAGCCGTCTATGATACCGGTGACACTTTGGCACCGGCCTAAGCTCTCTCCGGTTCCCTCTCGTGGCTTTGTATTTGTTTACATGATCCCATCAAAAATGACAAGCGTTCGACTGGTCGCGAGGAAGGAGAACACGCGCCAGGACAGCTCCTCTCACGCGCATTGCATGTTTTGCACCCTATGTCCTTTTTTCTTTAATAAGTATAGGGTTCGTAAAGCAAAAACAAGCAACGACGTTTCGGTGTCATGGTGACGCCATTTTCCGAAGTTTATAAAGTGCCTGGTAGACAAATTGTCGAAAATAGTTGCTGTTAAGATCAACATATATAAAATATGCAATTAAATATTTTTTTATACCCAAATTTGTCTAGGCCAACAGAAAAAGTAATTTGAATGATATGTTCTTAGTTATTGTCTTAGGTACTGAGACAATAATTAAGAAAAAGCGAAATTTTACTGATGGTTTTAAATTAACTCATTCCTCACGTCTTGGGTTAATTTTTGCTGGGTATGTGCCGCTGGCCTCTCAGAGTCCCTACCCCATTATAGTTTACTCTGTGGCCAATTATAGCCCCAATCTTAGTCACCTTTGGGCAAAAACGTAATTTTCGCGATCCCAGCTTAATCACTTTCTAATATGTATCTACGTTATATTGAATAAAGAACACTTTACTTTTCACGTACAGTACAAACATTCTGGTACGTTTGCTAACCGTAAATATGAAGAACTGTCTTACCCCAAAAATCAGAACATGTGCGACCCCATTCTAGTAACTCTATTGGAAATGCGACCCCATTATTGTCAATCCAGTCGTGCAAATGCGATCCCATTCAGCGGCACATCCCCATTAGCCTCTTATAAGGAAGTACACCTCCGGGACTTTTCAAACGTATTGCTGAGTTGTCTTTCGCATAAAAAAAGGCAGTGCTCTCTTGATTCTTTGCGGGAACCTTATTTCAATCAAAAATTAGGCAAGGTGTTTCGAAGAATGTCCACAACAGCTTGACGAATGCCTCTTATCTTCCAGCTGTAGATCCGAGAGGGTTAAGAGATGAATGGAGGTACATAAGTGTGAAGACATAGTACCACATATCAAATGGCACAGCAGTTAAACCACCGATGAAACTGGAAAAAGAGAGACAAAATACTGGCACGTAACAAGCTAAAAATACCGCATACACATAGAATGTACTAACTGCAGTTTTTCTTAACCTTGCTGCATTTGCCATGTCTCTTTTCTCTGCTACTTGCACACGTAGGGCGTGAATTTGATTTTTGTGGCGTCGTACGGCTGCGTATATTTTGCAGTAAAGCAAACTTAAAGTTATAAGACAGAAAGCGTTTATCGTTGCATGCATATTGAATAAAACTTTTTTGGGAATCCATTTCGACGTAGGAAT